TTGAAAAATATCCAGAAAATGATGTCATGGCTTTAGAAGCTTCTGATAGGCTAATTGACATAATTTGAGTCAATTGGATGTGTACCTGTGGATGTATTTCAAGGCCTACCTTCAAACTCAGTGCCTTTTTGCTTGACATCATGGGAAAATCAAAAGAAATCAGCCAAGACCTCAGAAACATTATTGTAGACCTCTACAAGTCTGGTTCATCCTTGGGAGCAATTTCCAAATGCCTGAAGGTACCACGTTCATCCGTACAAACAATAATACGCAAGTATAAACACCATCGGTCCACGCAGCCGTCATACCGCTCAGGAAGGAGACGCGTTCTGTCTCCTAGAGATGAACGTTCTTTGGTGCGAAAAGTGCAAATCAATCCCAGAACAACAGCAAAGGACCTTGTGAAGATGCTGGAGGAAACAGGTACAAAAGTATCTATATCCACAGTAAAACAAATCCTATATCGACATAACCTGAAAGGCCGCTCAGCAAGCAAGAAGCCACTGCTCCAAAACCGCCATAAAAAAGCCAGACTACGGTTTGAACTGCACAGGGGGATAAAGATCGTACTTTTTGGAGAAATGTCCTCTGGTCTGATGAAACAAAAATAGAACTGTTTGGCCATAATGACCATCGTTATGTTTGGAGGAAAAAGGGGGCGGCTTGCAAGCCGAAGAACACCATCCCAACCGTGAAGCACAGGGGTGGCAGCATCATGCTGTGGGGGTGCTTTGCTACAGGAGAGACTGGTGCACTTCACAAAATAGATGGCATCATGAGGACGGAAAATTATGTGGATGTATTGAAGCAACATCTCAAGACATCAGTCAGGAAGTTAAAGCTTGGTTACAAATGGGTCTTCCAAATGGACAATGACCCCAAGCATACCTCCAAAGTTGTGGCAAAATGGCTTAAGGACAACAAGGTCAAGGTATTGGAGTGGCCATCACAAAGTCCTGACCTCAATCCTATAGAACATTTGTGGGCAGAACTGAAAAAGCGTGTGCGAGCAAGGAGACCTACAAACCTGACTCAGTTACACCAGCTCTGTCACGAGGAATGGGCCAAAATTCACCCAACTTATTGTGGGAAGCTTGTGGAAGGCTACCCGAAACGTTTGACCCAAGTTAAACGATTTAAAGGCAATGCTATGAAATACTAATTGAGTGTATGTAAACTTCTGACCCACTGGAAATGTGATGAAAGAAATAAAAGCTGAAAGAAATAATTCTCTCTACTATTATTCTGACATTTCACATTCTTAAAATAAAGTGGTGATCCTAACTGACCCAAGACAGGGAATTTTTACTAGGATTTAATGTCAGGAATTGTGAAAAACTGAGTTTAAATGTATTTGGCTAAGGTGTATGTAAACTTCCGACTTCAACTGTAGGTATGGTACTCATATGAGAGAGTGGTGTGAGCCTTCCTCTCTTTCCTTCCTCTAACAACTTGACAGAACTGTCTTCGTTTCGACGACACGATCATCACTTACTGCTGAGCTGAAAAAACTGTGGAGACTGAAGTACTAACATTAATTGCTGATTGCCTAGCAGTAGTGAAGGACACACCTCCCGGCAAAAATTGCTGATTGCCTAGGAAATGTGAAACCCCTCACCCTCCAATACAGGCACTGATAACCAGAGATTACTACACTGATAAGTTGCGTCAATTCAAATCTGGTATAGGAACAAAAAGAGGTCAATACACATCTTCTAAAATAGACTAGTATTTTATTAATGCAAATGTTTAAATGGTAAGTATGAGAGTTCGTATACGGGCTCACTGAAATACCACGCAGGGCAGACAGAGAACTGAGCCATTGTTAAAAGTTATTATTTAAATACTCTGAAAGAGATAGTTCCTGATCCAAGCAGGCCTATCAGAGTAGAGACTGAGCGTGGTTTAGACTTACTCAGCCTATCGTTGGCGCACAGGCAGGTCCCAGCCCCTTGGCGCTTCACTGTTGCCAGGCATTAGTTGTTATCTCCACAACTTGTCTCGAGTCAGCAACCTCAGACATAGTCTGTTCCTCTCCACTGTAGCAGAACACATGTCCTTGAGCGGTTTAACAAAAAGGCAGTGTGTGTGTATGTGAGACACAAGTCTTATCTCATCCTACCCCCCTAACAGTTCCTCACATTAATCACAGCTTGTTATATTAAACAATCTGTATCAGTACAGTACAAACCTATTATGTTTAATCATTAATATATTCTTTCTAAGCTAGGCATCACATCTAGTTATAAGAAAATAGATCCCCACAACACCAATTGCCCTGACATTTATTTAAGTTACTGTCAACACCAACCACAGCACAAGTGGTGAGCAATTAACAGTTCAGACAGCAATAATTAACTAGGTTACTAGAGAGACGGCACTTTACTTCAATTGACCAAGCAAAACTATACCAACAACAAGTTATTGAAACTAAATGATACTCAGCTATTTTTGTAGAAACAGTAGAGGTTCCTTCCCAGCTATAGATGGAGCACAATAGGACTAGGGCCTAGGGGCTCTATTTATACTCAGGACAGAGAGGTCAATGACACACCACTATTAAACAGAGATTATTACAACAATTGCCCTGAACACCAACCACAGCACAAGTGGGTAACTAGGTACAGTGCCTTCAGAAAGTACTCACACCCCTTTACTTTTTCCACATTTTGTTGTGTTACTGCCTGAATTTAAAATGGATTACATTTCGTTGTTTTTTTCCCACGGGCCTACACAAAATACCCCGTAATGTCAAAGTGGAATTATGTTTTTCACATTTTTTACTAATTAATTAAAGATGAAAAACTGTTTAACATGATTGTTGAATGGATACCCTATCTCTGTACCCCACACATACAATTATCTGTAAGGTCCCTCAGCCGAGCCGTTAATTCCAAACACAGATTCAACCTCAAAGACCAAAGAGGTTTTCCAATGCCTCACCATTAGACCAATGGTGACTTTAAAACAGTTACAGAGTTTAATGGCTGTGATAGGAGACAACTGAGGATGTATCAACAACATTGTAGTTACTCCACAATACTAACCTAATTGACAGAGTGAAAAAAGGAAGCCTGTACAAAATAAAAATATTCCAAAACATGCTTCCTGTTTGCAATAACACACTAATGTAAAACTGCAAAAAATGTGGAAAGGAAATTAACTTTATGTCCTGAATACAAAGCGTTATGTTTTAGGCAAATCCAACACAACACATCACTGAGTACCACTCTTCATATTTTCAAGCATGGTGGTGGCTGCATTATGTTATGGGTGTGGTTGTCATTGGTAAGGACTAGGGAGTTTTTTTATGATAAAAATAAATGGAATAGCACTAAGCACAGGCAAAATCCTAGAGGAAAACCTGGTTCAGTCTGCTTTCCAACACACTGGGAGATGGATTCACCTTTCAGCAGGACAATAACCTAAAACACAAGGCCAAATATACACTGGAGTTGTTTACCAAGACAGCATTGAATATTCCTGAATGGCCTAGTTACAGTTTCGACATAAATCAGCTTGAAAATCTATGGCAAGACTTGAAAATGTCTGTCTAGCTATGATCAAAGACCAACTTGACAGAATTGAATACTTTTTTTAAGAATAATGTGCAAATATTGTACAATCCAGGTGTGCAAAGCTCTTAGAGACTTACCCAGAAAGACTCACAGCTGTAATCACTGCCAAAGGTGATTCTAATACTTATCTAGTCAACATATGTCAGTGTTTTATTTGCATATTTATTATTTTACAAATGTTTCTTCCACTTTGACATTACAGAGTATTTTGTGTTGATCGTTGATAAAAAAAAAGACAATTAAATCCATTTTTATCCCACTTTGTAACACAACAAAATGTGGAAAAAGTCAAGGGGTGTGAATACCTTCTGAAGGCACTGTAACAGCACTTTATTTACTTCAATGGACCAAGAAAGACTATACCAACAAGTTATTTAAACAAAAATAGAGGTCCCTGGTTACATGTAATAATAATAATAATAATTATATTTCATTATTTCAACAAGTGACAAAATATTTTTTTTGCACCTTAAATGCTTCAGCCTTCTATATTCCAGTTGAAACAGGTCTGTAACATAAAGCATTAATTAGCTACCATTGAATCCTGTAAACAGGAATTGTGATATATGTGTGGAGACAACAGAGAATTCTCAGCCCATAGCTAAGGCCTAATAATAACAACAGCATGGAGTTTATTACTCTCCTAATGGCCATTATCTGAGGTTAAGTGTTGCCAATCTAACCCATAGCATACACTGTGGTGGGACTGCTCTACTACTATAACAATGGGCGTGGTTTATCATGTTTTCTGGTAAACATCCAGGTTTGTAGGAATTAAAATATAAAATGTCGCTTTCTTTTTCAGTCCCCGATATTAACTTAGAAATGACTTGGTAAACTGGTAATAGCATAACATTATAGCTGTTATGCATCATCTTGTGTAAGATGACATAACCCCCTAACTTTGTGAAGTTCTTTGAGACCAAGAGAAAAATGCTAAACTATAGTAATGTAATTGATTAAGACACATTCTTGTATGTATGTGGTTGTATTTGCTTGATATGCAGTGTAGCTCTTTCCTGCAGTCAAATGACCAAATTGCCCTCTAGTGGCCTCATGGGTGGAATGTTATTAATATTTTTCACAATTTCATAATTAATAAACATTATTTTATTTTTAACTCAGAAAATCCAGTGTTTCTGTGTCAAACTGTTTTGTTATATTTCAGTCTTCTGTGATGTATATAAAGTGTAATATTGGGATGCAAACTCAAAGTTGAATACATTTAAAATCTGTAACTGACATGGTTCAGGTGTCTTCTTTTCTTAAGCCCATAACCATGTGTGTGAGGTGTATACTTTTGTTTCAGAGTAGATTTGTTTAAGACTACCAAGAAACACTCTGTGTGACCCTGATTTAGCCCACTGCTTTGGTGCATTGACATATTTGGATGCAGGCTTTTTATTCACAATCAAACAGTTTGAAACATTACAGCACTCTTCAATTGCATCGAAAAACAACAAACAACAAGTGAGGTTAGATATGAAAAACGTCAAGCAAAAATTAAACATTCACATTATATGTTATTATTTTTTTATTGAGGAAGATAGTAGCCAGGCAAATAGGAAAGGACAAAATTAAAATATGTCTATTTATGACTAATTGCCTAATTTTGCCAGTTGCAGTTCAGGACCAGTTGCTAAGGTAGGTTATTGCCTTAACAGCATGTTGTCATTGAAGGTTGTTATGGTATTCTAAGTAATTGGTCCTACAGTACATAGCTAGCAGTAATTCAGGGCCAGTTGCAGCACTTGCAGGCATCAACATAGACCAGGCCGGGCTGGCATTTGTGCAGGTAGGTGTTGCCACGGAAACACTGGAAGTAGGTGGTGTTGTCGAAGATGTTGACGTACAGGCCGTCTGGACGTCCGGAGCAGAAGCTGAGGATTGGGTCAGCGGTGGTGGTGGGGGCACGAGTGGTGGTGGGCTTGGGGGCGAAGCCTGGGAGAGGGAGGGAGAAAAATAAGGAGGTATGGAGAAAGGGAGGAGAGTTTGAGATTACATATAGACCTACATACTGTATACCTTTACTGTACTTGACTTAAGAGGTTTGTAAAGTCCCTTGAATTGAATTGAATTGAACTGAATGGAAGTTAATTTACCCAGAGAGTTGCGGAGGTGGTTGATGAGAGGGAAGGGGCCATCAGCACAGAAAGCCCCACTGAAGTCATCCATGTCTAGGGTCCACACAGAGGCTCCTCCCAGGTTCTTGGTCTTCAGCCACTGGACCTGATGAAGCAAGGAAGACACAGACAGATGTGTTAACATGGACATGGCTTTAGAGATAAATAGATTGATTGCATGATTGATTGATATTGACTGAGATGTTCCTGGCATGTACCTTGGCAGCGTAGCTCTCCTTGCTGTCGTAGCCCACCCAGGAGCTGCCTTTGACGGCATAGGGGACCTTCTGCTCATCAACCCATTCGATAGTTGCACCGGAGGTGAAGGAGCAGACCTGGGAGGAGCGAAACATTCTGTTAGATAATGACAAAAAAACAGATAAACAAACAAACTACACAAAATGACGTATAGTGTTTTGAGATTCGTGGCCTGTATGCTTTGAGTAAAAAAAAAAAAAAGTTGATCAAATGTATGGTCATGAACATAGTTATTAAAGTTTTAGAGCACCTCGTAGTAGGACCAGTATCCTGCGTCACGGGTGTAAGGGCCAGCGTCAGCAGGGCCGTTGGTGGGGGCTCCCAGGCCAGTGTTGGAGGTTGTGAGACGGTAGGTACGGCCGTGGGTGGGGAAACCCATCAGCAGCTTTTCAGCGGGAGCACCGTTGTCCAGCCAGTAGGTGATGGCAGAGTCCTAACACACAGGGACAGGTGGTTCAGACAAGGGAGCTACAATGGAGGACATCTATACCAATATTTCCTATATTTAAAATAATCATGATCAATAACACAATGGTTTACTAGTGCTTCCTGGTGAAAGACTCGGCATAGATGTTAAAAAAGAAAGTGTGTCTTACGACGTTGAAGTGGTAGTGTGTCCCTGAGTCATGGCTGCTGCGGAACAGTGGGCTGTTGTGTCCTGTGGCTCTCTCCCAGTGTCCGTGGAAGTCATAGGTCATCACGTTGATGAAGTCCAGAGATCTGCAGAGACATGAAGAGACTTAATTATTATATATAGTGTATGAAGGGAATTAATTATATATAGTGTGTTTGTTTGAAAAAGAGAGCGAGGGAGAGAGATAAAAAGAGAAAGAAAGAAAACAGAGACTTCAATTCTTATTTCAGCTGAGTGGGTTTCTCCCAGACCCATGCTGTCTACAGTACCTGGCGATCTGGGCCACCTCGTAGCTGGAGTTGATGGTGGGCCGAAGAGCAGCCACGTTGGCAGACAGGAGCAGCTGGGTCAGCCTGGTATCTTTAGCATCGTTCTCAAAGGCCTTCTGCAGCTCCTGTAAAGCCATACAGAGACATTAGGTACAGAAAATAATCACAACTAAACTGCTCTTCAGGCTGAGCTGGATAGACAGCGCTACAACGATAACCAGTCACAGAAAATGACAGGAACACATTGAAAGATAAAGGTGCAAATCCTCACTCATGTTATAACTGTTAGTAAAAAAGTTTCTGTGCAAGCTTACTCTGACGAGCTCAGTGAACCTCTCCCTGTCTCCGTCGGGGCTGCCGTTTTGAGTGGGGAACTCCCAGGCTAGGTTGAGACCATCAAAGCCGTGGGAACGCAGGTAGCTGATGGCTGACTTGATGAAGGCCTGGCGGCCCTCAGGCTTGGACACCATGCCGATGAATCTAGAGGGGTGGAGGGAGACAATGTAAACCGTTACTCTGGTCCTGAGCCTATTGATGTACAGAAGTAGGGAACTGGAAAACACTATGATAAAACACTATGATAAAACACTACGATAAAACACTACGATAAAAAAGGAGTGGACTGGGAAACAATAAAAACCTGCACCATTAAAATATATTTTTTTAGATGCTGGGTACAAAAAGACAAATCTGTTTAATGTGGATCAGTGGAAAGATGTGAAAGTGAAGTTTTATCTTATAGCAAACCATGCTTTTGGATAGCTGTGAAATCGCAATAAAATATTGTGAAGAAACAATAAGAATCACTAGAGACTTACGGGCTGAGTCCGTTGACTGTGCCTCCGACAGACAGCAGAGTCTTCATCATTGGGTTCCTGCATATCAGAGAGGTAAGATGAAGAGTCAAACCTAGTGTTCATCATGGATTTATCAACTAAGGCCCAACTCTCACTGAAGTCAACCCAGAGTCACTCACACATTCTTCAGGTGGTTGAGGCTCTTGTAGAGGGTCTCGTCATTCCACTCGATGGGGGCGACCTGGTTGAAGCTGTTGATGGTGGCCAGGGCGTAGATCACGTGGGTGCAGAGGAACGGGTCGATATTCTCAGGGGTGAACTTCCCAGTGGTGGGGCGGTACTGGGACCAGTTGGTCATGTGGCATACCAGTTTGGTGGAGGCGGCTGAAGGGAGAAGAAGAAATCTAACCAGAGGCTGAATTTCACATTGACCCTTTGGGGTTCTCTAAAATAGTGGGTTGGACTATTGTGTTTATTGGGATTCCTAATTTCAAATGCTTATGTAGGATGCATGAATTTGAATGGGATTACCGAGCCTCTGAGGTATAATTGGGGCTCAGATAAGGAGATCTAAACCATATAATTAAATTGAACACAATCTTTATCTCTGTGGTCTGAACATGTCAATTGAGAAATGTAAAAAAGTTGATGAGGGAAACGCTTACCAATCTGCACCATCAGCAGAAGGCCCAGACCTGAGGAAAGATTACTGAGTTAACAGAGTAGACACTAGGGACTTGTTTACCAGAGGATCACATTGAAGAATAAGATGAGGATGATGATAATGATAAGAAGGATGAGGATGATGGTAATGATAATAAGGATGAGGATGATGGTAATGATAAGGAGGATGAGGATGATGGTAATGACTGAAGAAGGCATGTACCTGAAAGCACAGTAAGTCTGGCCATTGTACCTGAAAAAAAACAATGTACCTGAAAAAAAAAAGATTTTTTTAAATAAATGAATACATACAAACAAATAAATAAACAAACAAATTGATGAATAAATACATTCTTAAATATAAATATGTAAAAAAAATTGTATAATTATGCAATTATAACATTTAATTCATTAAATACTTTTTAAAAGCATAGAGCAATTCTGTTGTTATGTTGTTAATTCAGATCAACCAAGTTTGTAAATATTAGGTATCACAAAGTATTGGATAGTGTTCGTATTTCACGATCTCTAACATTTAGTAACCCATGGACCTATTGTTCTTGATAACTAGATATCAAACAAAACCACATTCATGTATACCCAGACCTAGGTCAAATGTATAAACACTTTCAAATACTTGAGGTGCACTTCACATACTGTAACTTGACCTGTATAATGGAAGCAATGAAAAAGTCCCAAAAGGGTCGACTCCACCTACATTTACATTTACGTAATTTAGCAGACGCTCTTATCCAGAGCGACTTACAAATTGCACCCATCCTGCAGTGTATTCAATAATGTATTTGAACCAGGTCTGATGTATGCATACACACACTTACATCCACTGTTAACAAACCTAGATCTTTTCAAATGCTATTCACAAGATAATTAATAAACACACTGTTATCACCATGTCATGGGTGATAAGTAAGTTGCAATATAGCATTGATAATACATCTGATATTACAAGCTATGATACATACATGAATATTCAATTACATATTACATACAAAACTTGAATATCGATGTGATCGTATTACCTTTCTCCACCAGTAACAAAGGGCGAGTTCCTAGCTGTGCTGTGTTCTTGCTGATTTATACTTGTCACTTTCCCTAATAATAATTGGTATCAAAGTGCAAGTGATACGTTTCCTGGCTACTCCGGGTAGTGGGAGATTGACTGATTAGGGCAGACTGGAGTTGGCTGTCACACCTTTTACTCTCATGTGTATTTCTCAGCACCAGTATATCTTACAAGACTCATTTTAGCCTTAATAGAAAGACCAAGGCCTTGGGTTGACATGGGGACCCTTTTTATCCAACATGGAGTTATAAGCCATCAAACACACACTCCATCATGGGGTTGGTTGTCACACAGTATGGGGTTAGTTGTCACAATGTTTGCTAGTTGCTTATTCCTTTTGTAACAGGAACTATAGCATACAGAGTCTTAGAAATAGCCAAGCCTTTCTTTGATCAAACAATATTCCTAACAGAATTCAGAAATGTATGCCTTGAGAGCAACATATGACATTTTGAGTAAATTAGTTTGTGTATGCATGTCTTTGCATACACGTGTACGTGTGGGTGTGTGACAGAAAAAAATGGTGTGCATTTCATTGGACGGTGTATACCATGTGTATATCCTGTACATACGACTAATAAATACGTGAAACCTGTCATGCTGCCATGAATTGACCAGATGGATGAGTTCTTTCAAAGAATTTACACATTTTAATATTACACAGCACCCTCTAGATTGGGAATAATAAGCACTGCAACAACCAACCCTTGAGACAATCAACCCAGGTCCCCCCCCAACCGTATCAAATGGCGCCGGAGAAGATGGCTGCCGTTTTACAGCCCTCTAACCAATTGTACTATTGTGTGTGTTTTTCCGCGTTATTTGTAATTTATTTTGTACATAATGTTTCTGCCATCGTCTCTTATAACCAAAAAGAGCTTCTGGATATCAGGACAGCGATTACTCACCTCGTATTGGACGAATAATTTTTCTTCAACGAGGCGGCCGCGAAGGATATCCTACAGACACCGGACAAGGCCCAAATCCCCATCATTCGCATGAGGAAGAGACGGAGATATCGTGGACGTAGGTCGGGGTGCCTTGTAAGGATCCGACGGCGAGCGAGTAAACTGCCGCTCCCATCAATCCTATTAGCCAATCTTCAATCATTGGAAAATAAATTGGATGACCTAAGATTACGGTTATCCTACCAACGGGACATTAAAAACTGTAATATCTTATGTTTCACCGAGTCGTGGCTGAACAACGACATGGATAACATACAGCTAGCGGGCTATACGCTACATCGGCAGGATAGAACGGCTGACTCCAGTAAGACAAGGGGTGGCGGTCTGTGTATATTTGTAAACAACAGCTGGTGCACAAAATCAAATACTAAGGAAGTCTCGAGGTTTTGCTCACCTGAGGTAAGTATCTTATGATAAGCTGTAGACCACACTATTTACCAAGAGAGTTTTCATCTATATTTTTCATAGCTGTCTATTTACCAACACAAACCAATGCTGGCATTAAGATTGCACTCAATGAGCTGTATAAGGCCATAAGTCAACAAGAAAACGCTCATCCAGAGGCAGCGCTCCTAGTGGCCAGGGACTTTAATGCAGGGAAACTTAAATCCGTTCTACCTAATTTCTACCAGCATGTTAAATGTGCAACCAGAGGGAAAAAAACTCTAGACCACCTTTACTCCACACACAGAGACGCATACAAAGCTCTCCCTTGCCCTCCATTTGGCAAATCTGACCATAACTCTATCCTCCTGATTCCTGCTTATAAGCAAAAACTAAAGCAGGAAGCACCAGTGACTCGGTTAATAAAAAAGTGGTCAGATGACGCAGATGCTAAGCTACAGGACTGTTTTGCTAGCACAGACTGGAACATGTTCCGGGATTCTTCAGATAGCATTGAGGAGTACACCACATCGGTCACTGGCTTCATCAATAAGTGCATCGATGATATCGTCCCCACAGTGACCGTACGTACATACCCCAACCAGAAGCCATGGATTACAGGAAACATCCGCACTGAGCTAAAGGGTAGAGCTGCCGCTTTCAAGGAGCGGGACTCTAACCCGGACGCTTATAAGAAATCCCGCTATGCCCTCCGACAAACCATCAAACAGGCAAAGAGTCAACACAGGACTGAGATTGAATCGTACTACACCGGCTCTGATGCTCATTGGATGTTGCAGGGCTTGAAAACTATTACAGACTACAAAGGGAAGCACAGCCGCGAGCTTCCCAGTGACACAAGCCTACCAGACGAGCTAAACCACTTCTATGCTCGCTTCGAGGCAAGCAACACTGAAGCATGCATGAGAGCACCAGCTGTTCCGGATGACTATGTGATCACGCTCTCCGTAGCCGATGTGAGTAAGACTTTTAAGCAGGTCAACATTCACAAGGCCGTAGGGCCAGACGGATTACCAGGACGTGTACTCCGAGCATGTGCTGACCAACTGGCAAGTGTCTTCACTGACATTTTCAACATGTCCCTGACTGAGTCTGTAATACCAACATGTTTCAAGCAGACCACCATAGTCCCCGTGCCCAAGGACACTAAGATAACCTGCCTAAATGACTACCGACTCGTAGCACTGAAGTCTGTAGCAATGAAGTGCTTTGAAAGGCTGGTCATGGCTCACATCAACACCATTATCCCAGAAACCCTAGACCCACTCCAATTTGCCCCAACAGATCCACAGATGATGCAATCTCTATTGCACGCCACATTGCCCTTTCCCACCTGGACAAGAGGAACACCTACGTGAGAATGCTATTCATTGACTACAGCTCAGCATTCAACACCATAGTGCCCTCAAAGCTCATCACTAAGCTAAGGATCCTGGGACTAAACACCTCCCTCTGCAACTGGATCCTGGACTTCCTGACGGGCCGCCCCCAGGTGGTAAGGGTAGGTAACAACACATCTGCCACGCTGATCCTCAACACGGGGGCCCCTCAGGGGTGCGTGCTCAGTCCCCTCCTGTACTCCCTGTTCACCCATGACTGCATGGCCAGGCACGACTCCAACACCATCATTAAGTTTGTCAGAGACCTGGCCGTGTGGTGCCAGGATAACAACCTCTCCCTCAACGTGACCAAGACAAAGGAGATGATTGTGAGATGATTGATCCTCAAAAAGTTCTACAGCTGCACCATCGAGAGCATCCTGACTGGTTGCATCACCGCCTGGCATGTTAACTGCTCAGCCTCCGACCACAAAGCACTACAGAGGGTAGTGCGTACGGCCCAGTACATCACTGGGGCCAAGCTTCCTGCCATCCAGGACCTCTATACCAGGCGGTGTCAGAGGAAGGCCCTCAAAATTGTCAAAGACTCCAACCACCCTAGTCATAGACTGTTCTCTCTGCTACCGCACGGCAAGTACCGGAGTGCCAAGTCTAGGTCCAAAAGGCTTCTCAACAGCTTCTACCCCCAAGCCATAAGACTCCTGAACAGCTAATCATGGCTACCCGGACTATTTGCACTGCCCCCCCCCCACCCCATCTTTTTACGCTGCTGCTACTCTGTTAATTATTTATGCATAGTCACTTTAACTCTACCCACATGTACATATTACTTCAACTACCTCAACTAGCCGGTTTCCCCGCACATTGACTCTGCACCGGTACCCCACCGTATATATAGCCTCCCTACTGTTATTTTATTTTACTTCTGGTCTTTTTTTCTCAACACTTTTTTGTTGTTGTTTTATTTTACTTTTTTATTAAAAAGAAATGCACTGTTGGTTAAGGGCTGTAAGTAAGCATTTCACTGTAATGTCTGCACCTGTTGTATTCGGCGCATGTGGCCAATAAAATTTGATTTGATTTGATTTGAACCTAATAGATGAAATGACGCACACTAGGTAAAATGGCAAGTATTTTGCCTTACTGTAATAGGGGCTATTCATCCTGATATGTCACAACTGACATAATGAAGCAGTCTATGATCATGCTTCATCATCCATGCAAATCCAACAGTGGTAAGGAAATAAAAAAACACAGTGGAACAGGAATGTTTTAAATACAACCCCAAGGTGTTTATTTAGTCATATTTACAGGTGCCATCCCCCTTCACATTCCCATTCAATCACAGATTTAGATTGGCCAAACGGTATCATAACATATCAACATTTCAGCCCATCCAGCTGACAGACAAACACATCCCAGCAGAGAGGTTGCCCTTTTTAACCACTGATACAGGGACAGATTTGTTTTCACCCCCCTAATTGCTCAGGTTAGGATTAGGGGGAGAGTAACTGATCCTAGATCTGTGGTTATGGGCAACATCTACTTCGAGCGCCATCATAGCTTCCACCACGAAGTGAGAGATGAACCGACCAATCAGACTTCCTGAAGTTGACATTCCGAGAACAGTTGTTGGACATGATGTCACCTTAGTATTACAGCATGTGAGATGATAATGCCTTTTAATAGATCTTTAGCTAATGGGAGTTTTGAATATGAAAAGCGTTGTGTTAACAAAAACATTCACACACACACACAAATGAATAAGCTAGCATTAAGTACATAACCAAAAAGGCAACAACATTCCATGGCTGAGGCAACCTTCCCCGTTGGATTAGAATAAGCAAGGGCAGATCAAGTGTACTTGTGTGTCTTCTCAGACCTATACCAATGCTGGGTGAAGAAGGAACAACACTACCCACCAAACAGTAGGCTCTGAGATTGTGCGCTAAGTGTGTGCTAACAACTGTACTCTAGCAGTACAGTACAGTACAGTATCTACAGACCGATGATAAGTGAGATCCAGTGTACAAACATTAGGAATAGCGGTTCTTTCCAGACTGACCAGGTGAATCCAGGTGAAAGCTATGATCTCTTATTGATGTCACTTGTTAAATCCACTTCAATCAGTGTAGATGAAGGGGAGGAGACAGGTTAAAGAAGGATTTTTAAGCCTTGAGACAATGGATTGTGTATGTGTGCCATTCAGAGGGTGAATGGGAAAGACCAAAGGTTTAAGTACATTTGAACGGGGTATGGTAGTAGGTGCCAGGCGCACAGGTTTGCGTGTGTCAAGAACTGCAACGCTGCTGGGATTTTCACTCTCAACAGTTTCCCATGTGTATCAAGAATGGTTCACCACCCAAAGGAAATCCAGCCAACTTGACACAACTGTGAGAGTCAACATGGGCCAGCATCCCTGTGGAATGCTTTCAACACCTTGTAGAGTCCAAAAGGGGGTACAACTCAATATTAGGAAGGTGTTCCTAATGTTTTGTACACTCAGTATATGTCTTTACCATAATAACTCCTATCCTGTGCTTACGGGAACACAGGCTGCTTTTCCAGTTGGTGGCCGTATCAGTTTATCTTAAACATTATTGAACAGCTAGATGTGATACAGTCTACATAACTGAGTGGTCCAGTGCCTTTCAACATATCAGGCCTTAGTAACTGTTTGACCCTGCAGAAGCTGCTAAATTAGATATCATATCATCAACAACATGTTTGACTATAGTTTGACAGGCAGGTTGAAAGAGAGTCAAGTTGATGCGCTTGTTGTGCAGTTTTAACGACAGTAGTCCCACACATTCACTATCTTCAACTTCAAAGTGAGAGTTTGCTCAAGTAACTCATCACTACAAGACGTATGGACAGTCACGTCTTTTTTAGCTGCCCTCTTTATTTTAAGGTACAGTGATCAACATACCAAAACAGTTTATAAAACGCAACACTCCCAATCCAATAGAAAATGACCCTGAACACCGTCAGGCACAGGGTTGAATGGCTTCACACACTGGAAGCAAAACAACATTATGGGTCTAAAACATAAAAACTGCCAGGTGTGCTGCTGAATACATTGATGTATTATGAAAACAACACGACTGTCACAACTGGGAACTCTGGGTATAGTGGTGTTGTTGCTGTAACAGATTGTCATCAACATGTTTCATATCCAGCGTGTGTTTGTATCGCGCTCATTCTGATGTTGATAATCAGTCGATGTCTGTTTAAAACAGTCAATAATAATTTCTATACAGCTTTGGCCCTAAAATGTGAGATGTAGCTAACAAACAAACAGCACTGGAAAAACCAAGTGGTCCATCATCCAACCACTTGCTCAACAAACCATTTTCAACTCCCAGACATTTACAAATAACAAAACAAGACCTCTTGCAAACTATAAAAAGTATTGTTTGATTCCTACACTCCTGAGATGTATTGAAATCATAGAATTACAATTACAATTTTTGATGACTAACAAACCCCGGAGTGCCACAGAGCTTCTTGATACCTAGAACTGTTCTACTGCATAGAACAACATGTAGCAGCACAAATGTACTGCTACTGGCCAACCTGCCTTTATATGGCTCAGACCAACAGAAATGGAATAAAACAACAAGAGACAACATACAGTAGTTTTCATCTTGTTTCCTGTTTTCTAAGCTGTATCTAACAGTAGTTATATTGAGAACAGACACACAGAATGTGTGTTGAAATAGCTGTTTACCATTTAACTTCTTGGCTATACCCAAAATCAATAGTTCAAGGTACAGTACAGAACACACATTCCGCAGACTTAATAGGCGCAGGGGTCACTGTTCAAAAGCTGCCACAGGTTTAATGTACAGTGGCAAAACACTTGACAAAGACAGTGGTTGACATGTTGCTATTGTAACTCTGGAAACATCGGGAACATCTAAACAGTGTGCGGGTATTCTCCTCGCTTTACACCCAAATCAATACCACAGGGGCTTCATGATTAACTAGCAGATGCGGTGTGTTCCTTAGATGTCGTATCCTTGCTGCAAACTCTCCTCAGACCGACAGTATTTATGGTAGAAGTGTTGCATGATTAACAGTTAATGAACAACAGGACATGTTACATAAAAGTTAATAGATAGGTGACAGAATAATGTTGACATTAATAATAATACTAACGATAACACTGTACGTTGGTGATCACACATAGTTTTTTAGCAGTTTAAAGAACTGATAAAGATCTTTATCAAGTTGTGTTCTCTCATCTAAACATAAACGATAAAAAAGGTAAACATTCATTTGGACCACTGAAGTGATTCATCCTGATGCTGCCAACGCAAACAAACAAACAATAAAGTAAACAAACAAACACACAGGCAGAAAACCCTAGGATGAGAAAAAGGACAATTTTAAACAGAGAATGTGTCATAAGAAAGACCAGTAGGCTAAGTTAGCATTCTATTTACAGTGTGTTCCATTTGAAGTAGACGTTCTCAAAAATCATGAGATTTATGACATCACTGTTTTATCCCCCTTCATCTTATTCTAGATACAAACGTATGAGTTGATCAGTATCTGAGGGAACCAGAGACGTTGTCTACTGTTCTGTATGTATGTACCATAGAGAATTATAGAGGACTCATCATTGTATCTGTCCCATTATGGCGTCTGTGAGCGCACAGACAGTGCCATTGAGACCATCTCCATTTTTAAGTAGTAAATTTTCTTCTACTACTACTTCTATGAGTTGGTAAAAAAATACTGCCACCTGGAGTGTGTTGTTTGAACAGGCCCCGTGTAGCTCAGTTGGTAAAGCATGGCGCTTGCAAAGCCAGGGTTGTGGGTTCGATTCCCACGGGCGGCCAGTATGAAAAAAATTAAAATTAAATGTATGCATTCACTAACTGTAAGTCGCTCTGGATAAGAGTGTCTGCTAAATGACTGAATTGTAAATGTAAAATGTATAAAGCGAAGGTTTGGGATTTACTGCCACCTGCAGTTATGTAATGTTTGCTCACAGGTATACCATTGGCTGATCCCTCCTGATGACCTGGATGGAAGTATGTGATCCTTCCTTAACCCATAGGATGTCCCACCCATTTGACTACTTCCAAATGGTGAAAGTCCTCAACTACCCATGCTAAAACGTGCTTTTGGGCACTAGAGTCCTCTATCATTCTCTATGGTATGTACACATGATGTTCTACATACACAGGCTGATTTGGGTGACATACGCCAGTGAGCCTTGAGTTTATAGCAGAGTAGGGAAAGCCAGGAGACATGGAGAGCGTGATCTATTGCTGTAAAGCACAAAGGCCTCTCTTATCCCCATAAGGCATGGTTCTAATGACACCAATGTAACTGACAATCAGGTAGTCTGACCCCCTTGAAACACCACAGACCCACACGTAAAAAAATTACCCTCTTTGATTTTCTTATAAAAAGAAGAATAAAATAACCATTAGTCATTTTGACAACTCCTACCATCCCCCTTGCTTCAAAATATTACCCCACACATCCCTCCCCACCTGTTCAAATTCGTCCCTTAACCCCACCCCAACAAAACTCCAGATCGGTGAATTTGACCAATCGGCTTAGACCATGAAACATAATGTCCAGGGATTGTTGTAGATCACAGGTCCAGTAAGCCAATGAGAGTGATGGAGAGTGTGGCGGTGAGCAGGAGAGGAGCGTGATTGGACCATGGGGATCCCGCCTGGTTCTGCACCATCATTCCAGTTCCTGTTTAAGAGAGAGAAAGAGAGAGAGAAAGAGAAAGAAAGAGAGAGAGGGAAAGAGAGAGAGAGAGAGAAAAAAAATGGGGACATGCTCTGGTACAATAGTATCGTAACATTTACATTTTAGTCATTTAGCAGACGCTCTTATCCAGAGCGACTTACAGTTAGTGAGTGCATACATTATTTTTAATTTTTCATACTGGCCCCCCGTGGGAATCGAACTCAAAACCCTGGCGTTGCAAATGCCATGCTCTACCAACTGAGCTACATCCCTGCCGGCCATTCCCTCCCCTACCCTGGGCCAATTGTGCGCCGCCCCATGGGTCTCCCGGTCGCGGCCGACTACGACAGAGCCTGGATTCGAACCAGGATCTCTAGTGGCACAGCTAGCACTGCGATGCAGTGCCTTAGACCACTGCGCCACTCGTAACAGTTACCTTCTTGTCTCCTTTACTATTGGAGGAGTCACAGCTCTAATACTGAGCTCAGTAAGGAAAACCTAACTGAGAGACACTGACTAACAACCCCTGTCTCTCTGACTGGCTCACACAGCCCTTCCGGGTCTAGAGACTGGGCCTGGAACACTGCTAGTCTTAAGCAGTCTTAAGCACACTCCAAAGAGCAATGTGTATGTGTGTGTGTGTGTGTGTGTGTGTGTGTGTGTGTGTGTGTGTGTGTGTGTGTGTGTGTGTGTGTGTGTGTGTGTGTGTGTGTGTGTGTGTGTGTGCGACGCATGTGTTCAGTATGTGTGCATTCCTGCATGTGTGTAATAGACAGGCACTAATACAGAATCCAGTGAGGTAAACCCCCATTAACCCTCACTGACTCTCATTAAACCCTGTCACTCACTGACGAACCTCAACTTCCCACAGCAGCCTAGCAACCTAACCTCACAGGCAGCAACGGGACTCCAGAAAGCTAGACGGTTCCAATACTCCAATTCCCACCTGAGAAATGATAGGCTATCAGAAACATGGATTTCACAGAACAGTTTGACCTCATCCTCCCAGCTAATTATGACTGGGCTGCCGTGTATAGCCGCGTGGTTCCAATTACCACTTAAGTTCTTGTACCCTTCTGTGTGTGACAGCTAGCTAATCCTGTTAGCCGTGGGCAGACTCGTGCAGAACAGGAAGAACAGGAGATGGGATTTGGTTATTGTATATCCTCCTGTAGTGAGTTCTGATCACAGCAGGAGTGGTGTAGCTATTAGACTAGTCCTAGGTGGGGTTGTAACTTAAACTTGACACAAAACCCTGCCTTGCCTAGATAAGCTCTGGGGCTATGTGGTGTGTGTAGAGTTGTAAAGCTGGAATTTTGGTCATGAACAGGTAATCTATGGTAACTTTGGTAATTTATATTTGAATAACTTGTAAATGTACAGTCGTGGTCAAAAGTGTTGAGAATGACACAAATATAAATTTTCACAAAGTCTGCTGCCTCAGTTTTTATGATGGCAATTTGCATATATTCCAGAATGTTATGAAGAGTGATCAGATGAATTGCAATTAATTGCAAAGTTCCTCTTTGCCATGAAAATGAACTTAATCCCCCAAAATCATTTCCACTGCATTTCAGCCCTGCCACAAAAGGACCAGCTGACATCATGTCAGTGTCTCCCGAGTGGCGCAGTGGTCTAAGGCACTGCATCGCAGTGCTAGCTGTGCCACTAGAGATCCTGGTTCGAATCCAGGCTCTGCTGTAGCCGGCCGCAACCGGGAGACCAATGGGGCGGCGCACAATTGGCCCAGGGTTGGGGAGGGAATGGCAGGCAGGGAGGTAGCTCAGTTGATAGAGCATGGCGTTTGCAACGCCAGGGTTGTGAGTTCGTTTCCCACGGGAGGCCAGCGTGAAAATAATAATGTATGCACTAACTGTAAGTTGCTCTGGATAAGAGCGTCAGCTAAATGATGTAAATGTGATTCTCTCGTTAACACAGGTGAGAGTGTTGACTAGGACAAGGCTGGATATCACTCTGTCATGCTGATTGAGTTAGAATAACAGACTGGAAGCTTTAAATAGAGGGTGGTGCTTGAAATCATTGTTCTTCCTCTGTTAACCATGGTTACGTGCAAGGAAACATGTGCCGTCATCATTGCTTTGCACAAAAAGTGCTTCACAGGCAAGGATATTGCTGTTAGTAAGACCGGATCTTCAAGGAGAGAGGTTCAATTGTTGTGAAGAAGGCTTCAGGGCGCCCAAGAAATTCCAGCAAGTGCCAGGACCGTCTCCTAAAGTTGATTCAACTGCGGGATCGGGGTACCACCAGTGCAGAGCTTGCTCAGGAATAGCAGCAGGCAGGTGTGAGTGCATCTGCAAGCACAGTGAGGTGAAGATTTTGGAGGATGGCCTGGTGTCAAGAATGGCAGCAAAGAAGCCACTTCTCTCCAGGAAAAACATCAGGGACAGACTGATATTCTCCAAAAGTTACAGGGATTGGACTGCTGAGGACTGGGGTAAAGTCATTTTCTCTGATGAATCCCCTTTCCGATTGTTTGGGGCATCCGGAAAACACCTTGTCCGGAGAATACAAGGTGAGCGCTACCATCAGTCCTGTGTCATGCCAACAGTAAAGCATACTGAGACCATTCATGTGTGGGGTTGCTTCTCAGCCAAGGGAGTGGGCTCACTCACAATTTTGCAGAAGAACACAGCCATGAATAAAGAATGGTACCAACACATCCTCCGACAGCAACTTCTCCCAACCATCCAAGAACAGTTTGGTGACGACCAATGCCTTTTCCAGCATGATGGAGCACCTTTCCATAAGGCAAAAGTGATAACTAAGTGGTTCGGGGAACAAAACATCGACATTTTGGGTCCATGGCCAGGAAACTCCCCAGACCTTAATCCCATTGAGAACTTGTGGTCAATACTCAAGAGGCAGGTGGACAAACAAAACCCCGCAAATTCTGACAAACTCCAAGCATTGATTATGCAAGAATGGGCTGCCATCAGTCAGGATGTGGCCCAGAAGTTAATTTACAGCATGCCAGGGCGGATTGCAGAGGTCTTGAAAAAGAAGGGTCAGCACTGCAAATATTGACTCTTTGCATAAACTTAATGTAATTGTCAATAAAAGCCTTTGACACTTATGGAATGCTTGTTATAATACTTCAGTATACCATAGTAATATCTGACAAAAATATCTCATAACACTGAAGCAGCGAACTTTGTGAAGACCAATACTATCATTCTCAAACTTTTGACCACGACTGTTTTCATATTTAGCATGATTTTTTTTTATATCTGTGTCCATATTGTCCATGAGTTTCTAATGGATAGACCATAATGGTTCAAGATAATATAGAATAATTAATGAAAAAAGTATCTAATCAACAATGGCAACTCTGCAACTCTTCCAACGTTTGTCTTTTATCACAACTGCCACCAGTTTGGCGTTAAAACATTTACAACAAAGACATATTGACATAGTAAAATAAATAAAAGTGTGTCAAAAAAATACAAAGGCTATTTCATGCTGAAACCCTCACTATAAACACCAATAGTATTCACTAAATTAATTGCCATGATTGGGAGTCCCATAGGGCAGCGCACAATTGGCCCAGCGTCGTCTGGGTTTGGCTGGGGTAGGCCGTCATTGTAAATAAGCATTTGTTCTTAACTGACTTGCCTAGTTAAATAACGTTTTTAAAATATATATATACAGTGGGGGAAAAAAGTATTTAGTCAGCCACCAATTGTGCAAGTTCTCCCACTTAAAAAGATGAGAGAGGCCTGTAATTTTCATCATAGGTACACGTCAACTATGACAGACAAAATTAGATTTTTTTTCTCCAGAAAATCACATTGTAGGATATTTAATGAATTTATTTGCAAATTATGGTGGAAAATAAGTATTTGATCAATAACAAAAGTTTCTCAATACTTTGTTATATACCCTTTGTTGGCAATGACACAGGTCAAACGTTTTCTGTAAGTCTTCACAAGGTTTTCACACACTGTTGCTGGTATTTTGGCCCATTCCTCCATGCAGATCTCCTCTAGAGCAGTGATGTTTTGGGGCTGTCGCTGGGCAACACGGACTTTCAACTCCCTCCTAAGATTTTCTATGGGGTTGAGATCTGGAGATTGGCTAGGCCACTCCAGGACCTGGAAATGCTTCTTACGAAGCCACTCCTTCGTTGCCCGGGCGGTGTGTTTGGGATCATTGTCATGCTGAAAGACCCAGCCACGTTTCATCTTCAATGCCCTTGCTGATGGAAGGAGGTTTTCACTCAAAAATCTCACGATACATGGCCCCATTCATTCTTTCCTTTACACGGATCAGTCGGCCTGGTCCCTTTGCAGAAAAACAGCCCCAAAGCATGATGTTTCCACCCCCATGCTTCACAGTAGGTATGGTGTTCTTTGGATGCAACTCAGCATTCTTTGTCCTCCAAACACGACGAGTTGAGTTTTTACCAAAAAGTTCTATTTTGGTTTCATCTGACCATATGACATTCTCCCAATCCTCTTCTGGATCATCCAAATGCACTCTAGCAAACTTCAGACGGGCCTGGACATGTACTGGCTTAAGCAGGGGGACACGTCTGGCACTGCAGGATTTGAGTCCCTGGCGGCGTAGTGTGTTACTGATGGTAGGCTTTGTTACTTTGGTCCCAGCTCTCTGCAGGTCATTCACTAGGTCCCCCCGTGTGGTTCTGGGATTTTTGCTCACCGTTCTTGTGATCATTTTGACCCCACGGGGTGAGATCTTGCGTGGAGCCCCAGATCGAGGGAGATTATCAGTGGTCTTGTATGTCTTCCATTTCCTAATAATTGCTCCCACAGTTGATTTCTTCAAACCAAGCTGCTTACCTATTGCAGATTCAGTCTTCCCAGCCTGGTGCAGGTCTACAATTTTGTTTCTGGTGTCCTTTGACAGCTCTTTGGTCTTGGCCATAGTGGAGTTTGGAGTGTGACTGTTTGAGGTTGTGGACAGGTGTCTTTTATACTGATAAGTTCAAACAGGTGCCATTAATACAGATAACAAGTGGAGGACAGAGGAGCCTCTTAAAGAAGAAGTTACAGGTCTGTGAAAGCCAGAAATCTTGCTTGTTTGTAGGTGACCAAATACTTATTTTCCACCATAATTTGCAAATAAAATCATTAAAAATCTTACAATGTGATTTTCTGGATTTTTTTTCTCAATTTGTCTGTCATAGTTGACGTGTACCTATGATGAAAATTACAGGCCTCTCTCATCTTTTTAAGTGGGAGAACTTGCACAATTGGTGGCTGACTAAATGCTTTTTTTCCCCACTGTATATATATTTAGGATAATGTTTTACAGCTTTGTCATTCTATAATTTTTTTCAGTAATCTTATTTTATTATTTCACAAATTTTACATGTGAGGGACAGAGATAATTACAGACACCTGTGATAATCTGAAGTACCCAAAAAAAGACACTAGATGCCATCTGATAAAATTCCATAAAATCCTTGAAAGTTACAAATGTTCTGTTAGTTTACTGGTAAACTGCAAAAGATTCCAATAATATATATTTGCAGCCCTAGGTGTGTGACTCTGTAATAATGTGTGGGTGCTGAAGTAATTTCCATTAAACATCTGTGTCAGTGGCTACGTGCTAATTATCTTTCCTTCCTCCCAAAGTGTGCACTTGTTCACTTCTCTTCACTGATTTGAAAAGAAATTACTGGTATAAGAAATATGGTGGAAACGCTCTATAACCCATCCTTTAACCAATCCACTGCTTATAGATTTGTGGGAAGTAGTGAACGAGTGTACACTTTAAGAGAAAATAGATATTATTGGGACACACCCAGTCAGTCCAAGTCTCACCTGAGTCTCGGGAGACGATGGTCTCTTGTGCGGCTCCGTCACCCCCCTCCCCCCAGGAGCGTATCTCCAGGACCACGTAGCCATTGTCTTTGGGTAGGGGCAGGGTCACAGACGTCTTCCCCTTGTCCAGAACCTTCAGAGCAGACTGGCCCTCGTGCTTGTACAGGACCTGAGAGAAGACAGAGGGAGGGAACATCTTCACACAAACTTATTGAATGTTTTTCCTTTCCCCCTTTGTTTAGTAAGCTAATGTTTTCATTCCTTTTTTTCTCTGCACAGCATCACACTATAAAACCAGTGTAGGATGGTTAATGTTATCCATTGATGATATGCCATATCTTGAATGCCTTTCTAGTGGCAAGCTGAGCCATATCAAATGCTCTTAGATTTTTTTATATTACCTTTTTACTGCACTACATATCTGATTATTTACAGAAGGGATTACAAGTAGTTTATGCAAACAACATTATTCATTTTCACCACATATCCCCTTTCACTTCACACATCTTAACATTATTTCATATATTTTGACAGTGCATTCGCAATATGACAATAACATACCCACATGCACACACCTCTCCTACAAACAGACACCACTCACCTTGTAACCCAGTACGGCTGATTCGTTGTCTAGGGTCTTGACATGATCCCACCTCACAGTTACCCATGAGCCATCAGTCTTCCAGGACACGTTGCCAGGGGGACGATTAGGAGCTGTAAAAATAAACAAAATAAACAACAAGAGACAACAACTTATTGACCTGTCTCACCTTCCAGGAGTCACATGACCAAGACATGACCAGGAAGTTATTGAGGAATTAAACTTAGATACTTGATAATAACTTGGTAATACAATGGTCTCACGCACATATTACAGACACAGAAACATGACGATCCAAACTGTAATTGAACTGCAAACCAAAAGGCATGATATTATATAGAATATAATAATATAGACATATTTGTGCCTTATGTTGACGTTAGTGGGTTAAGGTATCAGTGTCTACAGTAGCTTAAGGGAGAGGAGAATATCCTCTGTATCAGGATCAGCACAGACATGATTCCTTCTCACTCTATAAATCCTCCACAAGAATCCCTTTACACCCTTAAGCCCAGTAGATACTGGTAGCCAGGTGCATGGTGGAGATCCCCCCTCCCAAAAACACTGGGGCCACACTTGCGAACATTAGAAAAAGATTAAATTCAAGTTTAAGCATCAGCCTATAAAATTTGTTGCCGTATTGTCACGTGATAGAATGCTGCATTGCAGCTGGTCCCATCAGATAACATGGCACATGTTAGCCCTATGCTAACTTCATCAGGTGGCAGTGATTATTTCCTGTAACAACTTCCTCATCAGCTTATCAAATATGTTAAACTTGTGGGCGTGATAGAACACTTTTTCATGAGAGCATCCTTAACAGAAGTCAAACGGCACGATCTGCTATTCAAATTCAAATGTGATTTCACCTGGATGTTTAGATCACAGTGTACCGAGCCTGGCACCTGGTACTTTTCGCCGTTTGCGGCAAGTTCGAATCCCAGGTGAGATATACGTTTTTTCCTTTAAAATATAGAATTACATTTATAGTGAAAGTGTGTTGTGAAGGGAATTGCAGCCAAAACCTTGTAAATGAAGATTACAAATAGGCTATATTTAATGAGGAGCTTAGTGGAGTCCCTCTTGCAGACCGACACATGTGCTACTGCTACTTTATAGGGGTGTAACGTTAGTGCTGCTGGAGCGACGCTCCCCCACCTCTCAGAATGGGGCTTGTTTAATACTGTTTATATCAAAGCTAAAATCAGTCTCGCAAGACCACTTAATGATGAATTAGTATTCTACATATGCCTAGCATACAGAAAACAATAACAGTTACTGTTAGACCAAAAACATCCTTTAAATTCTTATGTAGGCTACACTTACATTTACAGCGTTTTGTATGCATTGTTAGAATCAACCACTTCGTCATTTAAGCCTTATTTGAATTGAGCATCAAGGACCAGCAGTGAACAGTTTTTTCCTTAACAAAAAAGCTTAACTTGAGAGGGACTCAAACCCACAATTACTGTGCCTCAGAGATTGAATGTTAAGCACCTTAGTGCTATACGCCATCTGGCAGTGATGTCAATTGTGTTAAATGACAGCCTTTTGACAAGGCCACAAGGCTCTTGTGGCTCTCGTACTATGTACAAAAAACTTTGTCTAACATTAGTAGCTAGTAGCCTAGTCAAGGATGCATCATGCTACATATTGATATTTGTGACAGACCAAGTGGAACAAAAGTAAACCTTGACTTTGGATGTTTACAAAATCTATCTGGTGGCCAAGTTGACCTATTTTATGAAATGCCGTTGGTTTGTAGAGAAAAGTAACATTTTTGATAGGCTGATGAGGAAGTTGTTTCAGGAAATAATCACTGCCACCTGGTAAAGTTAGCATAGGGCTAACGTGTGCCAGGTTATCTGATGGGACTAGCTACAATGTAGTGTTCTATCACGTGACACTAGGTCAATGATTTTAATTGGCTGATGCTTAAACTTCACCTTGAACCTTTTCTAATGTTTGCAAGTATGGCCCCATTGTGTTTGACCCCCTGGGTGTTCTCAGCTGGTAGGGACAATCCATCTCAGCCCACAGGGGAGAACTCATATTTACACTACTGGCCTAACCCAGTATTGTCAACCCACGGCTCACATCTGATCCTGGAGGAGGCTTTGGGCCAGGGCATTAAAACAATAGTGTGTGTTATGTCATACATACGGTGTCTTGATGGTGGCAATACTGTGTGTGTGTGTGTGTGTTGGGTATCCTACATACGTGGTCTCCTGGTAGTGACAGTGGTTCTGGGTGAGGCTGGTCCAGTGCCAGCGCTGTTGTAGGCCAGTACGGTGACATGGTACCGGGTGCTGGGTCTCAGTCCCACCACGTGAGCTGTCGTCTCCAGCCCAGCTGTACGCACACGGTCTGCAGACGCCTCCCGCTCATGCTGACGCCAGTACCGGATCTGTAAAAACACACATACAGACAGTATTGTCAAACAATTTGTTATGTGAGCGTGGGTACATCTCTTAAAGGAATGAGGTGCCTAATACTGGAATATTGTTTCTTCTACTGAAAAAAACCCACAAACTTTGTCAAATCATTAGGAATGTTCGATACCTGTACTCTTCCTCACAATATACTGTGTGGTACTATAAATATGAACATATTTTTTGGTGAGTCTTACATCTAAGCCCTTCGTTGTTTCATGCTTCACCTGAAGGCTCTGTGTATTCTGTTATTTTTCTTCTCTTAAACAATGTTTCCTTTCAAATATGTACAATTAACATATGAAAGATCAAAGTGTGACACCTGTTGAACTGTGATAATATTAATGACTCTGCCATTGTTTCCCCACTAGTTAAATACATTTAAAGAAAATCATGATAACCAACCATCACACCTAACCTGCCTGTCGACAGACTGCACATGCTGATGATCCCAACCAAACACAGCCCAGCTAATAAATGAATACCATCTTTATTAGTGTGGGGGTAACAGATCAAGGCTGAGAAGATAAGATGAGGTGAGGTCAACTCCAGTGGCGTCAGGAGACTAATAGCACCATAGCTGTTATCTCAGTTCACCCACACACCGGTTCAGACTGGTTTGGAGCAAAAGTCTAGAGATGGGTCCCAAATGGCACCCTATTCCATTTATAGTGCACTACTTTTGACCAGGGCCCATAGCGCCCATAGGGCTCTGGAAGAATAGCTTGTCACATATATGATATATGCTGGTGTTGTGCAGGTCCTGACCTCGTAGCCTCGGAGGATGCCGTTGGTGCTGAGATGTTGGATGGGGTCCCACGATACCTGCATCTCGAACGCTGTCAGAGCAGTGGCGTTGATCCTCGAGGGCGCCACCGTGGGCTCTGCAGGGATGGTCAGGGGTAAAATAAGGGTTGGGGAGTCGGATCATATCTAACACACATAAGTACGATAAACACAATGAATTTACATAATGTGGTTGGTAAACTCATCTGTTTTTTTTGTGTTTTTGTTCGCCCTCTTGTGGCAATCCAGCATAATGCTCCTAATCCTTTCTGCATGCCCCAGATCTGTTCTGATTCACCCTCCTCTGCAGAGTGCACCAGGGTGATCTGACTGAAGGGTTAGGGCTAGGGCTAGGGTTGAGGTTAGGGTTGAAGTTAGAGTTAGAGTTTGGGTTGCTCACCCTCTTCTGCAGAGTGCACCAGAGCGATCTGGCTGAAGGGACCCTCTCCTTTACGGTTGTAGGCTTTAATCTTCACCTCAAAGAGGTAGTATGGAGATAGGCTCTGGTTGGAATACACGTAGCGAGACGACTCCACGTTGGAAACACGCTCCACCACCCACGTCTGAGAGTTCCGCTTCCGGAATGCCAGGATGTAGCCAAAGCCATCTCCGTTCTGGTACTCTCTGGCCATGGGCTGAGATCGGATTCAAACAAAACTTTATGTCAATTTTCACAAAGACAAAACTCTCTCTCTAACACACACACACACACAGACACACACACATACACACACACACACTGACCGTCCAGGTGATGATGAGTTCGTTGCGATCTCCTCCTCCTCCACCTAGTCCACTAGGGGCCACTGTGGGAGCTGCTTGCTGGGTGCGTACGGTGTGAGAGGACATGCTAGGCTCTCCACTACCCAGGATGTTACTGGCGATGACCTGGAACTCATAGTCCATCCATGGCAACAGGCCAACCACACGAGTCGACTCAGCATTGCCTTCAATGTTAGATGGGTCTGTGGGAGAAGAGTGGAGGAGAAGGCGGGGATTAATTGATTGACACAAAAGCATACAGGTACACAGATAAGCACACACATACACACAGACAGTGGTGGTCCTCTTACCTGTCCTCATCCTCCTCCAACCAGGTGACAGCGGTGAGTGACCCATGATGACATACTTCCCGATGGGGCTGTGGTTGTCATAGCCATGACTCCACCGCAACTCCACCGACGTCGCGGCAACGTTCTTCACCACCAAACCACCAGGAGGTCCCGGGGGGCCTGAAGAGAGACAGTTGGAGAATGCCTAGTCAGGACTTTTATCTAACTTCCTTCATTTACATGCAAGTACAAATTCTCACCCATAAAGTAGTGGACGTAGCTCATTGTGGCCTGGGGATAAAGATGATTATGCAAGTAAGTAAGTAAGTAAAAAATCCTCATAAAATGTTACATCTAAATCCTGCAATGCTGTAAAACAAACATTTTATAAGGATGACCATCGTAGAAAAAGGGCAGGTGAGTTGTTGTGGTATGATCAGTGTTTTACCTCTGACCACCAGTTTAGCGGAGGCTGAGGCGCTGTCCACCACGGTCTGAGCTGTACAGCTGTATGCACCTGCCTGACTCAGCTGACCACTCACTATCAACAGATCACCTATGGTCTCCTTCTGTTAGAGAGAGATAGAGGGGTGGAGAGGGGGAGAGAATGGGAGGGTGGAGAGAGAGAATGAGAGTGAGAGTGAGAGAGAGAGATAGATTAAAGAGAAAGAGGGTGAGAGATTAAAGAGAAAGAGGGTGAGAGAAAGACAGGGAGAGCGACAGAGAGAAAGGGAGGCAGATATATATATATGTATAGAGAGAGAGAGAGAGAGAGAGAGAGAGAGAGAGAGAGAGAGAGAGAGAGAGAGAGAGAGAGAGAGAGAGAGAGAGAGAGAGAGAGAGAGAAAAAGAGAAAGAGCTTGTTCAGTAATTGGAGACATGGTCTGTCTGCTACAGAGAAACAACCAGGTATTCAGTATTCATATCATCACCATTTCACAGCAGTACTGAAGGTAACTTTACTTAAAATGAAATTCAATTATATCCAACACTCGGCTTTAAAAGTAGATACCATTATAAAGACGACTCCAGTGACAGTGAAATCACGGTGCTGACCGGAACTTGTTTGGGTCAGGATTCTAAACTCTAACCCCAGTAAACCCAGAGGCATGGAAAATGGCAAAGTCACATCATCAACCTAGAAGTGTTTCGTCAGCAAAACGTGAACGGTAGGGAGGGAGACTGCACATTAAATGGATGGTCTCCTTGATATGGTCTGCAGCGTAGATCTTAAGTTAATCAATTAAGCATATAATAGCTGTCTCTAATAAAAATGTTTATTGTTTAAATAAACCCTGCTTAATGGTTCTTATTTTCATTAATCAAACTGGGAATCATACTAATTTCAAGCTGTTTGATTCCAAAATCAGTTAAGCAGTTTAATTAAATTTCAAACTCTTTGATTCAAAATAACCCCAAGAGAACCCGTGGATTTGTTTGTGTGTTATTCATCATGACACCCCCCCATTCCTGCAATGGTTTGCTCTACTGTGGCCTGACTAACTCACCCCCTCCACGCGGTGGTACGGTCCGCTGGGGTCCTCCAGGTCCAGCAGAGCTCCGTTGAGAGCCCAGGTGAAGGTGAGGTCCATGGTGGGGTCATGTGATGCGTGACACTGCAGCGTGACGTTCTCCCCCTGATTGATGTCAGCGTTGGAGGGAGCCAAGGTGATCTTAGTGGCATCTGGAGGGAAGGAGGGAAAGGACAAGGGCAGATGAGGAGGAGGATAGTGAGGGAGTTCAGTTACCTCTGATAGTCTCAGTGTGTGTGTGTGTGTGTGTGTGTGTGTGTGTGTGTGTGTGTGTGTGTGTGTGTGTGTGTGTGTGTGTGTGTGTGTGTGTGTGTGTGTGTACCTCTAACAGACAGGTGTCCAGTGCTGTTGGCCTTGCCCAGGTAGTTCTCAGCAAAGCAGGTATACTTCCCCTCATCGGCCCTGCTAATGTTGTGGATCCGCAGCACCCCGTCTGGAGTCACTGTCACCCTGGAAGAAGAAGCAGGAAGCTTGTTACCTTCATTCCTCTTAACAGTTGGGAAATTAATTTGGGCTTTTTAAATGTTTGGGCCTTTAAAGTGTTTGCAGTTTGCGCTTGTTAGATGGGAGTCGAGGACAAAATCAAATCTAAAACATGACACACTTTCCCTTCAGATCACATTTCTCTTCTAATCTCCATTTGACCTTAACCTCTACCCTTTATGTTTAATTTCCTCTGGAGATGTAACAAGTGCACATTCATACACATACACACACGTACACACACGCACGCGCATAGACACACAGGTTAATTAATTATGTTTTTCATCTAGACACACAGACCTAGCAAAGCACCAAAATGTGATGAAATCCACTGAAATAGGTTCCTTTGATACACACATAACAGGGGAATGCTCTTTTGATCTTACCTTCTACTACATACCTCTTGCACATTTTGGTTTCTCAATCAAGCCTCAGGGTAAGGTGTGTGTATGTATGTGTGTGTGTGTGTGTGGATGTGAGTTAGTGTGTGTGTGTGTGTGTACCTGCTGCTGTTGGTGAGAAGCTCAGTGCCGCGGCTCCAGAACAGGGTGGGTTTGGGGGCGGCTCGCGGCCGACACTCCATCATCACTTGCCCCCCTCGGGCTGCTGGGACCAGCCTCCTCACTGGGTTGGAGCGGAAGTCTGGGGCTTGGACTGGAGACCCCAACACAGAGTGGAGGAGAGGGAGGAGAGGGGGAAAGAAATGTTACAACTGGGGTGTTAAGTTCCAGTTCTCTTGGGCTGCAGTGTTGACATGGTTTGGTTTTAACCCTTGAACCCTGACCACTCACCTTGCACCCTCAGCTCGGCATTGGAGTAGATGGTGCCGTGTTTGTTCTCAGCCACACACTGATACATCCCAGAATCCTCCAGGGCCAGGTTGATGACCTTCAGACGACCCCCGTTGACCTCCACCCGTTCCTGAGAGAGAGCAAGGAGAGATGATGGGAGAGATAGAGAGAGGGATGGATGGAGATATATGAAAATGCATTGGGAGGGGAAAGACAGATAAGGGAGAGAAGAGACGGGAGATAGGAGATTGTATGTGTGTGTGTGTGTGTGTCTGTCTGTCTGTCTGTCTGTCTGTCTGTCTGTCTGTCTGTCTGTCTGTCTGTCTGTGTGTGTGTGTGTGTGTGTGTCTGTATGTGTGTCTGTGTGTGTGTGTGTGTCGTGTGTGTGTGGTCTGTGTGTGTCTGTGTGGTGTCTGTGTGTGTGTGTGTGTGTGTGTGTGTGTGTGTGTGTGTGTGTGTGTGTGTGTGTGTGTCTGTCTGTGTGTGTGTCCGTGTATGTGTGTGTGTGTGTGTGTATGTGTGTGTGTGTGTGTGTATGTGGTCTGTGGTGTGTGTCTGTGTGTATGTGTCTGTTGTGTGTGTGTTGTGTGTGTGTGTGTGTGTGTTGTGTGTTGTGTGTTGTGTGTGTGTGTGTCTGTGTGTGTGGTGTGTGTGTGTTGTGTGTGTGTTGTGTGTGTGTGTGTGTGTTGTGTGTGTGTTGTGTGTGTGTGTGGGTGAGTGTGTGTTATGTGTGTTTGTGTGTATGTGCGATGGCTGTGTGCGTGCGTGTGTGCTGGTTGTGGTGTGTGTCTGTGTGTGTGTTGGTGTGTGTCTCTTGTGTGTGTGTCTGGTGTGTGCTGTGCGTGTATGGTGTGTGTTTGTATGTTGTATGTGTGTGTATGTGTGTGTGTGTCTGTGTGTGTGTGTCTGGGTGTGTATGTATGTCTGTGTGTGTGAGTGTGTGTGTGTGTGTGCTGTGTGTTGTGTCTGTGTGTGTGTGGTGTCTGTGTGTGTGTGTGGGTGGTCTGTGTGGTGTGGTGTGTGTGTGTGTCTGTGTGTGTGTGTGTGTGTGTGTGGGTGAGTGTGTCTGTGTGTGTGTGTATACCTGTGTGCTGAGGGGCTGTCCGTTGCGTAGCCAGCGTATGGAGGGTCTTGGTTTGCCTGCTCCCACACAAGTCCAGGGCAGCTCGGAGCTGATCTCCACCTCAGAGTCACTCATCACCTGCAGCCACTCTGGCTGTGCTGGAAGGGACCAGACAGACACAGGGACAATAAAATGCAGGTCAACACGCATGGTTATGATGGTCATGTTTTGTGTGTGTGTTGGTGTGTGTGTGTGTGTGGTTTGTGTCTCTACCCTACCTTGCACAGTGATGCGTCCCTGGTGTGTGTCGCGGCCCTCTGAGTTGTAGGCCTCACACTCATACACCCCCTCTTCATGGAAGGTCATATCAGGCAGAGTGAGGATGGGTCCCTCTGCACTAGCCCCGGCCTTAGACGGCAACAGACCATCCACCTTCCTCCAACGCAGCTTTGGGACGGGACTGGGGAGGGTAGGAGTAGGAGAGGAGGATAAAGAGTGCAAGAGGGATGGAGTTGGGGAGGAGGGGGAGGGGGAGGAGAGAGAGAGGAAATGGGAGGAAGGTAAGGAGAGAAGTACAAGAGGAGGAGAAGGAGGGAGAGGCAGGAAGCGACATGTCGGGAGAGAGTGTGTGAAAACAGAAGAAATACAACAAATCAGAGATATTCTAACAAAAAAATGAATCAGGGACTTACTTTCCGTAGGCGAAGCATTCCAGCTGGGTGGTGTGTCCTGTCAGGGCATACGTCTCTGCTGGAAAACCCACTTTGATTGCAGGAGCTGACTTCCTGGGGTTGGCTGTGGTGAATAGAGAGGACATGTCAACAACAGAGAAAATGGCTGATGTGGTTCAAGTCTTCCCTCTTACAGGAGAAACACACTTTATTCTTTGTAGTTCATTGTCCCGAAATGGTCAATTGAGATGTCAAAACTTTTCAAAGCTGTACAATTACTGTGTACGAGTAACAGAGTCTTGAATAGGCCTTTTTTCTCACTCAGCTACAAGCACAAACACACAAACAAACACACACACACACACACAGAGTCCTGTACCGTCTGGCTGCACGGTGAGCTGGTTAGCCTTGCTGAAGGTACTCTTGGTGCTGATGTCCATGTTGATGGTGGTGAAGCAGAAGTAACTTGCTGTATCATTAGGCTCTGCCTTGGCCAGGTACAGGTTGCCCGTTACCTGGGAAACGAACCACCGACCCCCGTCAGGCTTCACGAAGCTGGGGAACTCGCTAACGAACCAGCGGTAGGACAGAGCTAACGAGAGGAGAGAAAGAGAGAGAGAGAGAGAGAGAGAGAGAGAGAGAGAGAGAGAGAGAGAGAGAGAGAGAGAGAGAGAGAGAGAGAGAGAGAGAGAGAGGAAAGGAGAGTGAGACTCAGAGAGGATGCAGAGATTGAGCATTTGTGTGTGTGTGCATGTGTGTGTGTATGTGTGTGTGTGTTTGTGTACCTGGGTAGTGGGTGGGGGGCTGGCAGGCCAGGAAGGCACCTGCTCCCTCGTAAGCCATCTGTGGGCTCCTCCCTTCCCCAGGGAAGTCATGGAGGTCTGAAAAAGGAGGGAAGAAGGATGTCACAATAACATAAAAAAACTAAATTAAATCTCACTGAGCAATTTCTTCTTTTCACTATGTAAACCAATCAATGGAATGAGGTGAGATCCAAATAAAGTTTGATGAACAACAATTGGGATCCAATAAATGTTGCTTAATATGCATTGTCCCCATCAACACTGAGAGAATGGTAAATAATACATGAATATTTAAATGAATAAATGAATGTACTCACAGCCGAATTTGAGGTTGGCGGCCCGGCTGAGTATGGTGCCACAGCGGTTGATGGCCAGACACTGATAGGAACCTCCGTCACGGCCAAACTGGGGACCGCTGATCACCAGGTTACCGGCTACCAGCGTGTACCGGGGGTCCCCTACAGGTACATCTGTACCATTCACACGCCAGCTACCGGACAGGGAGGGGTTAGATAACAGACTTCTCATCTGTATTACCTGTCTAATGAATGCTTCTCTGGCTGTACCCCTCTCTCTCGTATGTGACGAATTCATTTGATTTGATTTGTTTTCTGTCTCTCTGTGTGTGTGTGTGTGTGTGTGTGTGTGTGTGTGTGTGTGTGTGTGTGTGTGTGTGTGTGTGTGTGTGTGTGTGTGTGTGTGTGTGTGTGTGTGTTCTTACCTGTACGTAGCAGCAGGACTGGCTCTAGCCTGGCAGCTGAGAGTGACTTTGCCCTCACTGAGTCCCTCTGGGTAGACCACACTGCTGGGCTGCTCCTCAAACACTGGTCCACTGTCATGACCCGTTATGCACACATCCCCGCCTGTCAACACACACAGCCAATCAGAATCACCTGTTATGCACAAGTCTCCGCCTGTCAACACACACAGCCAATCAGAGTCAGCTGTTATGCACACATCCTCGCCTGTCAACACACACAGCCAATCAGAATCACCCGATACACATATGTCCCGCCTATCAACACACACAGCGAATCAGAATCACCTCGATACGCATACGTCCCCGCCTGTCAACACACAGCCAATCAGAATCACCCAATAAGCATATATCACGCCTGTCAACACACACAGCCAATCAGAATCACCCATCACCCAATGAGCGAGTTCTATTAACCTGAGCCACGGTGCGCCGGTCTATGGCCCGTGGAGTGAGAGAGGTGAGGGAGGTGCGCCCTTCGCAAATCGAATAGTAATCTGTGCCGTAGGTCATGTAATCAACAAGGCAGGATGGTGCATCATTGAGAAACATACAACTTCTCTTTTCCATAAAATATATGTTAGGAATTTCAAGCTAATTTTAATTGGGAAGGCAGCTAAAGTGTTTTTATCAAAAGCAATCACTTTTGCATGTGAAAACACAGAATCCTTCTCATTACTCCACGTGCTTAATCTAGCCTAGACTACATCAGTTTTGTTTTGAGCCGACTTCGCCGTGGGCTTGGAACGGGGAACCTGGCTCACGCCAGGGAGGCAGCCCGGTTCCAAAACGAATGGAATCACTTTTCACCCGGTGCAAACTCCTCCCACCGGGGTAACCCGGGCCAGATAATCAAATCCCCTCAATGTCCAACTACCAGCCCCTTCCAAACAATCAGGATTCAGAGTCAAAACTGATCTCAAACAAGTTGTTTTGTATCACTTTAACATATTCTTGCTTAATTAAATGGAAATGTTTCATCCTCAAAACATCCTGAATCACATTCCGTTCACTAGAGGTAAATCAGAGAGGAATCTGTGCTTCGGGAAGCCATGGTAAGAAACATTTGAATTGTCTAATTGAATGATACATTTTTACAAACAGAAGCATTTGATTAAATGTAATCTAATCCATTTTAATCTGGTACTCTGGGAGAGTGTTGAGATGGCCTGTTTTCCCCTATTCCCTCTTCCCCTGACAGAAACCCAGAATGAATTGTGCATGGCTCAGAGATGGTAACATAAATTGTTAAAATCAAACCATATCAAAATATATCAAAACGTATTTGTCGCGTACACAGATTAGCAAATGTTAAAGCAGGTGTAGCAAAATGGTTACTAATACACAAATAACCACCCCCCAAAAAGAATAAAAAAAAGAACAAATTAAATTAAGAAATATCCAATTTTGTTTGTGTAGTAAGTGTGTATGCAAGTGTGTGTGTGTGAAGCAGAAGCTGTGCAGGCAAACAGAGTACAGAGAGAGAGAGGAGGAGATGGGGAGAGGGAGAAGAGGAGGGCCTGAGAGGGGGAGAGGAGGAGTGGAAGGAGGGGACATATCTTAAAAAGAGGGGGAGATCGTGTTGGGGCAGAGGAGAGAGGGAGGAGAGGTGCGGGTAGAGGTGGAGGGGAGGAGAGTAAACTAGTGTAGGGGGTGGAGAGAGAGAGGAGAGGCGTGGGTAGAGGTGGAGGGGAAGAGAGAGCGATAGATGAGGGGAGCAGAAGGTGCAGGAGAAACAGCAGGCTGGAGCAGACAGCTATTCTCAAGGTACACAGAGAAACCATCCGTGTTACACAGCACAAACTGGGTTAGAGATGCCTCATGAATATATGGGAATCTAATGCTGAGTCCTCGTGGCACAGAGCGTGTGTGAGAGAGAGAGGGAAAGAGGGATGGAGGAAAAATATAAATAAAAAGAGAGATATTACGTGTGTGTGTATGTGTGTGTGTGTGTGTGTCTATGAAAGCGAGGATCTGTATTTTTCAGCCATCTATTTCCTGTGTGTGGGGTCTGCAAAATCCACTGGTCACTTACTGTAAATCTCGCTGGATTGATTGCTTTCATTTTACTCTTGCGACTCTTTCATTCTCTTACTTGTGCCTTTTGTTTTTTCCCGTTAATGTTATGACCGGGGAAATGTTGTAATGACCTGTCAAACACACCCCGGTAATGGCTGAAATGGGCTCAATGGGATACCTTGGCTTTCCGTTGAATCTATAAGAACGCTAAAGCTTTGTCTGGGATTTAACGCACCGTCTCGACACTTACATCACAAGAAAGAGAAGAAAGCTAACTTTATTTTGATGGGTGTTCATTTTTTGTGGAATAGAAAACAAAGTTATCATTTAATACAGTTGAAATGTTTACAAAACAGATTAACTGAAATGAAAGCAACTTCCGAAAATGAAAACTCGGATTAGTGATATTATTAGTGATATTATGTCTGATCTTGCAAACAATGTAAAGTATGTTGAGATAGGTGTAATCTAGAGCCAAGCATGTTGATTTTTAATCCGAGGGTATCCTGCTTTTGACACACTTGTTGAATTATGCAAGAGAACGTGACAACAACCGTAATTAATGAGGCAGTCTAGACAGCACAGGTGAGTGCAGGTAGGCCTAGACAGCAGTACAGGCTGGTGGGAGGAGCTATCGGAGGACGGTTCATTGTAATGGATGGAATGGAATAAATGCCTGTCCTCCTATAGATCCTCCTACCAGCCTCCACTGCTAGACAGAGCAAGTGTTTGGTGGTTGCAGCAAAACTGAAAGCGCAAACCATCGCATTTAACCATGGCAAGGTGACTGGGAATATGGCAGAATACAAACAGTGTAGTTATTCCCTCCACAAAGCAATCAAACAGGCAAAACGTCAGTATAGGGACAAAGTGGAGGCGCAATTCAACGGCTCAGACACAAGACATATGTGGCAGGGTCTACAGACAATCACGGACTACAAAAGGAAAACCAGCCATGTAGCGGACACCGACGTCTTGCGTCCGGACAAGCTAAACACCTTCTTCGCACGCTTTGAGGATAATACACTGCCACCGATGCGGCCCGCTATCAAGAACTGTGGGCTCTCCTTCTCTGTGGCCAACGTGAGTAAGACATTTAAGCGTGTTAACCCTCGCAAGGCTAGCCGCGTCCTCAGAGCATGTGCAGACCAGCTGGCTGGTGTGTTTACGGACATATTCAATCTCTCCCTATCCTAGTCTGCTGTCCCCACATGCTTCAAGATGGCCACCATTGTCCCTGTACCCAAGAAAGCAAAGGTAACTGAACAAAATGACAATCGCCCCGTAGCACTCACTTCTGTCATCATGAAGTGCTTTGAGAGTCAAGGATCATATCACCTCTACCTTACCTGCCACCCTAGGCCCACTTCAATTTGCTTACCGCCCCAATAGATCCACAGACGATGCAATCGCCATCACACTGCACACTGCCCTATCCCATCTGGACAAGAGGAATACCTATGTAAGAATGCTGTTCATTGACTATAGCTCAGCATTCAAAACCATAGTACCCTCCAAGCTCATCATTAAGCTCGAGGCCCTCGGTCTGAACCCCACCCTGTGCAACTGGGTCCTGGACTTCCTGACGGGCCGCCCCCCAGGTGGTGAAGGTAGGAAACAACACCTCCACTTCGCTGATCCTCAACACTGGGGCCCCACAAGGGTGCGTGCTCAGCCCCCTCTTGTACTCCCTGTTCACCTATGACTGTGTGGCCAAGCACGCCTCCAACTCAATCATCAAGTTTGCAGACGACACAACAGTAGTAGGCTTGACTACGAACAATGATGAGACAGGGAGGAGGTGAGGGCTCTGGGAGTGTGGTGCCAGGAAAATAACTTCTCACTCAACGTCAACAAAACAAAGGAGATGATCGTGGACTTCAGGAAACAGCAGAGGGAGCACCCCCCTATCCACATTGACGGGACCGCAGTGGAGAAGGTGGAAAGCTTCAAGTTTCTCGGCATACACATCACTGACAAACTGAAATGGTCCACCCACACAGACAGTGTGGTGAAGACAGCGTATCTTCAACCTCAGGAGGCTGAAGAAATTTGGCTTGGCACCTAAGACCCTCACAAACCTTTACAGATGCACAATTGAGAGCATGCTGTCGAGCTGTATCACCGCCTGGTACGGCAACTGCACCGCCCACAACCACAGGGCTCTCCAGAGGGTGGTGCGGTCTGCCCAACGCATCACCGGGGGCAAACTACCAACCCTCCAGGACACTTACAGCACCACAAGAAGCCCAAAAAGATCATCAAGTACAACAACCACCCGAGCCACTGCCTGTTCACCCCGCTATCATCCAGAAGGCGAGGTCAGTACAGGTGCATCAAAGCTGGGACCGAGAGACTGAAAAACAGCTTCTATCTCAAGGCCATCAGACTGTTAAATAGCCTTCACTAGCACATTAGAGGCTGCTGCCTACATACATAGATTAGAAATCACTGGCCACTTTAATAAATGGAACACTAGTCACTTTAATAATGTTTACATATCTTGCATTACTCATCTCAAATGTATATACTGTATTCTATACTATTCTACTGTATGCCGCTCTGACATTGCTTGTCCATATATTAATTTATATATTCTTAATTCCGTTGCTTTACTTAGATTTGTGTGTATTGGGTATATGTTGTGAAATTGTTAGATATTACTTGTTAGATATACTGCACTGTCGATGCTAGAAACACAAGCATTTCGCTACACCCACAATAACATCTGCTAAACACTTGTATGTGACCAATGAAATTTGATTTGATTTGATTTGTTCATCTCCTTTATGTTATTTTATGCAAATATGCAAATACAGTGTATTTATGCAAATGAGGCACATATAATTTTCTATCACATAATGTGTGGGTAATTTTTATGTGTATATTTGTATGTGTGTGTGTGTGTGTGTGTGTCAGAGGTGGGACCAAGTCACTATTATTCAAGTCACAAGCAAGTCTCAAGTCACAAGGTCCGAATCTCAAGTCGAGTCCCAAGTAGAATGGGTCGAGTCGAGTCAAATCCAAGTTGTGCATTCTAAGAGCAAGTCGAGTCGAGTCAAGAAAAATAATCTATACAGGCAATGACTTGTTCAACTACAAATCTTTGTCTATTTATTAAGGCTACCAGACAGCACTTTTCATTATTTTGTCTACAACACATTTAGATTATGTAATAATACATTTTTACATCAAATTCCAAATGCAAGCTTCATAAGTAACCTTTTTGCTTCTGAAGCACAGATTAGATGTTTTTGAAACAAATAATTTGGTGCAATGCCTTAGGCCTATGTTAGTGACCAGATCGAATAAGCAAAGGTATACATATCAAATACAAATGGTAGGCTATATGTAGCCTATTAAAATACACTGCTCAAAAAAATAAAGGGAACACTTAAACAACACAATGTAACTCCAAGTCAATCACACTTCTGTGAAATCAAACTGTCCACTTAGGAAGCAACACTGATTGACAATACATTTCACATGCTGTTGTGCAAATGGAATAGACTACAGGTGGAAAATATAGGCAATTAGCAAGACAACCCCAATAAAGGACTGGTTTTGCAGGTGGTGACCACAGACCACTTCTCAGTTCCTATGCTTCCTGGCTGATGTTTTGGTCACTTTGAATGATGGCGGTGCTTTCACTCTAGTGGTAGCATGAGACAGAGTCTACAACCCACACAAGTGGCTCAGGTAGTGCAGCTCATCCAGGATGGCACATAAATGCGAGCTGTGGCAAGAAGGTTTGCTGTGTCTGTCAGCGTAGTGTCCAGAGCATGGAGGCGCTACCAGGAGACAGGCCAGTACATCAGGAGACGTGGAGGAGGCCGTAGGAGGGCAACAACCCAGCAGCAGGACTGCTACCTCCGCCTTTGTGCAAGGAGGAGCAGGAGGAGCACTGCCAGAGCCCTGCAAAATGACCTCCAGCAGGCCACAAATGTGCATGTGTCTGCTCAAACGGTCAGAAACAGACTCCATGAGGGTGGTATGAGGGCCCGGCGTCCACAGGTGGGGGTTGTGCTTACAGCCCAACACCGTGCAGGACGTTTGGTATTTGCCAGAGAACACCAAGATTGGCAAATTCGCCACTGGCGCCCTGTGCTCTTCACAGATGAAAGCAGGTTCACACTGAGCACGTGACAGACGTGACAGAGTCTGGAGAAGCCGTGGAGAACGTTCTGCTGCCTGCAACATCCTCCAGCATGACCGGTTTGGCAGGGGTCAGTCATGGTGTGGGGTGGCATTTATTTGGGGGGCCGCACAGCCCTCCATGTGCTCGCCAGAGGTAGCCTGACTGCCATTAGGTACCGAGATGAGATCCTCAGACCCCTTGTGAGACCATATGCTGGTGCGGTTGGCCCTGGGTTCCTCCTAATGCAAGACCTCATGTGGCTGGAGTGTGTCAGCAGTTCCTGCAAGAGGAAGGCATTGATGCTATGGACTGGCCCGCCCGTTCCCCAGACCTGAATCCAATTGAGCACATCTGGGACATCATGTCTCGCTCCATCCACCAACGCCACGTTGCACCACTGACTTTAGTCCAGGTCTGGGAAGAGATCCCTCAGGAGACCATCCGCCACCTCATCAGGAGCATGCCCAGGCGTTGTAGGGAGGTCATACAGGCACGTGGAGGCCACACACACTACTGAGCCTCATTTTGACTTGTTTTAAGGACATTACATCAAAGTTGGAACAGCCTGTAGTGTGGTTTTCCACTTTAATTTAGAGGGTGACTCCAAATCCAGACCTCCATGGGTTGATACATTTGATTTCCATTGATAATTTTTGTGTGATTTTGTTGTCAGCACATTCAACTATGTAAAGAAAAAAGTATTTAATAAGATTATTTCATTCATTCAGATCTAGGATGTGTTATTTTAGTGTTCCCTTAATTTTTTGGAGCAGTGTATGTACAGTGCCTTGCAAAACTATTCATCCCCCTTGGCGTTTTTCCTATTTTGTTGCATTACAACTTGTAATTTAAAGGGATTTTTATTTGGATTTCATGTAATGGACATACACAAAATAGTCAAAATTGGTGAAGAGAAATGAAAACAATAACTTGTTTCTGGTGCAACCAATTACCTTCAGAAGTCACATAATTAGTTAAATAAAGTCCACCTGTGTGCAATCTAAGTGTCACATGATCTGTCACACGATCTCAGTATAAATACACCTGTTCTGAAAGGCCCCAGAGTCCGCAACACCACTAAGCAAGTGGCACCACCAAGCAAGCGGCACCATGAAGACCAAGGAGCTCTCCAAACAGGTCAGGGACAAAGTTGTGTGAGAAGTACAGATCAGGGTTGGGTTATAAAAAAATATCAGAAACTTTGAACATCCCACGGAGCACCATTAAATCCATTATAAAAAAATTGAAAGAATATGGCACCACAACAAACCTGCCAAGAGAGGGGCCGCCCACCAAAACTCACGGACCAGGCAAGGAGGGCATTAATCAGAGAGGCAACAAAGAGACCAAAGATAACCCTGAAGGAGCTGCAAAGCAACACAGCGGAGATTGGAGTATCTGTCCATAGGACCACTTTAAGCCGTACACTTCACAGAGCTGGGCTTTAAGGAAGAGTGGCCAGAAAAAAGACATTGCTTAAAGAAAAAAATAAGCAAACACGTTTGGTGTTCGCCAAAAGGCATGTGGGAGACTCCCCAAACATATGGAAGAAGGTACTCTGGTCAGATGAGACTAAAATTGAGCTTTTTGGCCATCAAGGAAAAAGCTATGTCTGGCGCAAACGCAACACCTCTCATCACCCCGAGAACACCATCCCACAGTGAAGCATTATGGTGGCAGCATCATGCTGTGGGAATGTTTTTCATCGGCAGGGACTGGGAAACTGGTCAGAATTGAAGGAATGATGGACGGCGCTAAATACAGGGAAATTCTTGAGGGAAACCTGTTTCAGTCTTCCAGAGATTTGAGACTGGGACGGAGGTTCACCTTCCAGCAGGACAATGACCCTAAGCATACTGCTAAAGCAACACTCAAGTGGTTTAAGGGGAAACATTTAAATGTCTTGGAATGGCCTAGTCAAAGCCCAGACCTCAATCCAATTGAGAATCTGTGGTATGACTTAAAGATTGCTGTACACCAGTGGAACCCATCCAATTTGAAGGAGCTGCAGCAGTTTTGCCTTGAAGAATTTGCAAAAATCCCAGTGGCTAGATGTGCCAAGCTTATAGAGACATACCCCAAGAGACTTGCAGCTGTAATTGCTGAAAAAGGTGGCTCTACAAAGTTTTGACGTTGGGGGGGTCAATAGTTATGCACGCTCAAGTTTTCTGTTTTTTTTGTCTTATTTCTTGTTTGTTTCACACAAAAAATGATTTTGCATCTTCAAAGTGGTAGGCATGTTGTGTAAATCAAATGATACAAAACCCCCCAAAATCAATTTTAATTCCAGGTTGTAAGGCAACAAAATAGGAAAAATGCCAAGGGGGGTGAATACTTTCGCAAGCCACTGTATAAAAAAATATATGTTTTTCCCATTCAGTTTCACACTCCCCAAAACCTTCTCACTGTGCTAGATCACCCGACCTGTGTTGATTGACAGTTTGCTGGTCCAATCAGAGTGCCGAATGTGTGTGTTTCACTAGTCAATCTGTTTTTTTTGCAAGTGCGATACTGTCTCTGGCTGCGTGGAGAGTAATCCACGGAGACTCTGTGCCACAAAATGAATGACAAAACGTAACAAAACCTGGACAGATCATTTCAAGTCACCAGTCTCAGTCAAAGCCGAGTCCCGAGTCTTGCGGCTGGTGTGTGTATAGTATGTGTGTGTGTGTGTATGTGTGTGTGCGTGTGTGTGTGATTCACTTCATCAACTGACCAACAGAGTGTTGACGGAGCTAGTAATTACAATTTCATGGACTGTGTGCTATCCACAGGGATCGACTATGCGTGACTGCGCGCTTGGCTACAGTGGAAAAGCTTTTTTAATTTCAACAAAGGAACGCTACAACACATCTTAATTTATCATTCATGAGATCGCTGAATTATTTCAACTCTGTCGTCAAATGAAAAAAATAAGAAAAAAGACATCTCAAGAAAATCAAATCCCTTCCGCCCGCTGGTATAAAAAAACAGCATAACATTTTAATCTGGCCTGAAGCCCCCAAGATCTGCAGATCCCCTAGTTTTGGAACTCCAGACTCACACTCTCACACACTCAATCCCCCAAACCCACCCCACCCAACCATTTGTCTGATAACACACATGGACATGATGAGTGTGTGTCTGGTGTGAGAGGCAGTGGCTGGCTAGGGAAGCACCATACCAGAAATAGGTTGCATGGGCAGGGGAGAGGTGAAGGAAGGAGAGGGGAGAGGGTGATTTTAATAACGGAGACTGAGATAGTGGATGTGTTCATTTTGATGGGGGAAGAACCTGGAGCTGAAGTCCATCTTAATTTACTAGTAAATTCAGGCAGTGAATACCACTCCTATGGAAAATGCCCTTTTATCCAATTCACAGGCCAGGACTGACAGGAGCCACATTCATTGGTAGCATCGAAAGGTTCTGACTGATGAAGTGGGCGTGAGAGGAGAACTGACAGAAGGTGATGTGAGGAGGAAAGTATCTGACATTGGAACACAGGGGAAAGAGAAGAGATGAGAAGACTGGAGGAGAGGAGAGGAGAGGAGAGGTAACAGAAGATATAAGAAAAAATAGAAAAACCTTACCGAAAACGTAGCTCAGAGCTAAGGAGCTGAGGCTCAACAGAAACAGCAAACGGACCATTCTCACACTCCGATCAGAACTGGACCGAACAGGATCAGAACCAGATCAGCACCACACCAGGAGGAAATGAGAAGTGGCTTAGCAGTGCCTGTGGAGAACAAAAAGAAAGACAGAATTACAAGCAGACTTATCTATTCTTCTGAACATCCTAACAGTACAGGGTCTCTAATGTCTCTGGATTGAAGCATTGTGGACCAACACAAAAAAAAAAAAACACACCCCACTAGAGCTGGGGTGTGTTACAGAATAAATACTAGCCCGAGGGGAGGGAGAGGGAGAGAGGGAGAGGGAGAGGGAGAGGGAGAGGGAGAGGGAGAGGGAGAGGGAGCAAACCCTTAACAATGTCGTCTCTTACCTTCTTATATTCCCTCCGTCCCTGCTCTCTATCTCCTTCCTTTTCTCTCTATCTCCTTCCCTTTCTCTCTTGCTCTCTCTCAGCTGGAAACACTGGCCAAACACGCAGACTCACTAAACACATTTCCACCTAATATAAATTCAGCAATGTATGGCAAAAAAGAACTCAAAACACAATATAGTCCAACCCGAACGTGGAAAGCAATGAGAGGGTATTAATTGATCAAGTGTATTATTCTCTTCAAATCCAATAAAGGTCCAATGACTTTTAGAAACATCAATAGAACTTTCTTCGGAAGCTGGCATAGAAGGTAGAATTAGATCTAGCACATCTGTCGGAACGTCTCCAGACAGCTCACAGCCTAGTAGGCTTGTTTACAGACCAGGAACAAGTTACTCCATGGCAGAACCCCCCCCCCCCGACAGACCCCGGCTAACATAATCTACTCTGTCAGTCTGTGTTCTCCCTCTGTGCTCTCCCTCTCTCCCCAAACTGTCACCTTCTGACATTTCACTGGATACTACTGTTATTAAACACCATCAGAATGAGAGAGTATAGAGAGAGAAGAGATAGAGAGAGATTAGAGAGAGAGTATAAGAGAGAGAGAGAGAAGAGAGAGAGAGAAGCTATAGCAGAAAGAAGAGGAGAGAGAGAAGATATCGATAGACGAGATCGCCGAGCGAGCAGATCGCTAAGAGAGCTCTCCTGCTAGCCGCGACTCTCTCTCTGAGATCGGCGCTGCTCTCTGGTCCGAGCCTTCCTTCCTCGGCTTCCTGTATCCAGTCGTCTGCCGTAGTCAGTCTGTCCCGGCGCTGCCTCTCGGAATCAGGGGGAATTGGGAGAGGGAGAGGGAGAAGGAGAGAAAGAGAGGGGGGCATACAGAGCGAAAGATAGAAATAAATAATACTATTTTAGGGGTGCTTATATTTGTTCTGTTAATACACAAGTGTGTAATGGAAATGTGTTTTTTGTATATCCCATGACCCCATGAGACACCAGTGTTTGAACCAGTGACCTTTCGGTTACAGACAGAAACCGAGCAGGGCAGAGAGATATACTGCTCACCGCAGACCAGGCCCTAATCCCCAACACTCGGAAGAGAAAGAGACTGCGATATAGAGGCCGACGTGGGGGCACCCTGATGAAACTACGCAGGCAAGTAAATAAACCCCCTCTACCCTCTGTTCTAGTGGTGAATATACAATCACTGGAGAACAAACTGGATGAGCTCCGTTAAAGATTATCCTATCAACGGAACCTGAATAACTGTAATATCTTATGTTTCTCAGAAATTTGACTGAACAAGGACATAGAGAATACACATCTAGCTGGTTTTTCTATGCATTGGCAGGACAGAATGGCAGCGTCGAGTAGACTCAGGAGGGGTGGTGTGTGTCTCTTTGTTAACAACAGCTGGTGCGCAATCTCTAATTTTAAGGAAATCTTAAGGTTCTGCTCTCCTGAGTTAGAATACCTCATGATAAGCTGTAGACCATACTACTCCACACACAGAGACGCATACAAAGCTCTCCCTCGCCCTCCATTTGGCAAATCTGACTATAACGCTATCCTCCTGATTCCTGCTTACAAGCAAAAACTCAAACAGGAAGTACCAATGACGTGCTCAATGCGGAAGTGGTCCGATGAAGCGGATACAAAGGTACAGGACTGTTTCGCTAGCACAGACTGGCACATGTTCTGGGACTCATCCGTTGGCACTAAGGAGTTTACCACATCAGTCACCGGCTTCATTAATAAGTAAATCTACGATTACGTCCCCACAGTGACCATATGTACATATCCCAACCAGAAGCCACAGGCAACATCCGCACTGAGCTAAAATGCTAGAGCTGCTGCTTTCAAGGAGCGGGACACTAACCCGGACGCTTATAAGAAATCCCGCTATGTCCTCCGACAAACAAACAAACAGACAAAGCGTCAATACAGGACTAAGATCGACTCCTACTACACCGGCTCTGATGCTCGTTGGATGTGGCAGGGCTTGCAAACTATCACGGATTACAAAGGGAAACCCAGCCATGAGCTGCACAGTGACGTGAGCCGACCAGATGAGCTAAATGCCTTCTATGCTCGCATCGAGGAAAGCAACACTAAACCATGCGTGAGAGCACTAGATGTTGCGGACAACTGTGTGATCACACTCTCCATAGCCAATGTGAATAAGACCTTTAAACAGATTAACATTCACAAGGCTGCAGGGCCAGATGGATTACTGGACGCATACTCAGAGCATGCGCTGACTAGCTAGCAAGTGTCTTCACTGATATTTTCAACCTCTCCCTGACCCACTCTGTGTTACCTACATGTTTCAAGCAGATTACCATAGTCCCTGTGCCCAAGAATGCCAAGGTAACCTGTCTAAATGACTATCGCCCCATAACACTCACATCTGTAGTCATGAAATGCTTTGAATGGCTGGTCATGGCTCACATCAACACCATCATCCCAGAAACCCTGGACCCACTCCAATTCGCATGCCTCCCCAACAGATCCACAGATGATGCAATCTCTATTGCACTCTACACTTCCCTTTCCCACTTGGACAAAAGGAACACCTACGTGAGAATGATGTTCATTGACTACAGCTCAGCGTTCAACACCATAGTGCCTTCCAAACTCATCACTAAGCTAGGACCCTGGAACTGAACACCTCCCTCTGCAACTGGATCCTGGACTTCCTGATGGAATGCCCCTAGGTGTTGACGGTACTGTAGGCAACAACACATCCACCACGCTGACCATCAACATGGGGGAACCTCAGGGGTGCGTGCTTAGTCCCCTCCTCTACTCCCTGTTCACCAATGACTGCATGGCACAACTCCAACACCGTCATTAAGTTTGTCGACGACACGACGGTGATAGGCCTGATCATCGATGACGATGAGAGAGCCTATAGGGAGGTCAGAGACCTGGCAGTGTTGTGCCAGGACAACAACCTCTCCCTCAATGTCAGCAAGACAAAGGAGCTGATTGTGGACTACAGGAAATGGAGGGCTGAGCACGCCCCCATTCACATCGACGTGGCTGTAGTGGAGTGGGTCGAGAGCTTCATGTTCCTCAGTGTCAACATCACAAACAATTTATCATGGTCCAAACACACCAACACAGTCGTGAAGAAGGCACGACACCGCCTCTTCCCCCTCAGGAGGTTGAAAAGACTTGTCATGGGCCCTCAGTTCCTGAAATAGTTATACAGCTGCACCATTGAGAGCATCTTGACTGCCTGTATCACTGCTTGGTATGGCAACTGCTTGGACCCTGAACAGCTTATACCCCCAAGCCATAACACCCATTTTGCACAAAAATGTTTGACTCATCACATACACTGCTGCTACTGTTTACTATCTGTCACTTTATATCTACCTCAATGACCTCACACTCCTGCATATCAACTCGGTACTGGTACCCCGTGTATATAGCCAAGTTATCGTTATTCGTGTATCTATTATTACTTTTGTTATTACGTGTTTAACTTTTCTATTATTTCTCTATTTTATTTCTCTCTGCATTGTTGGGAAGGGCCTGTAAGTACGCATCTCACTGTTAGTCCACACCTGTTGTTCACAAAGCATGTGACAAATAAAATTTGATTGATTTGATTTAGATGAAGATATGACAAGACAAGACAAGACAATTCGTTTTTTTTAAACACCTGGTTGTTGCAATGGAACATGACTCCTGCAGATGCAGGTACATCACTTTAAAGATCAGTGCAGAAATGTTGTTGAACCAGATGGTTTCTTTACGGTATCTCATTACTAGATGAGGAGCTACAACCAGGTGTTGTGCATTTAGCAATCAACCAAACCACAACTGAACAAGACACGTCTGTCTCATGGAATGAGAGTTTTCTGTCAATCGCACGGGACTAATTGTCGTATCAGAGTAAAATCTGTCCCATGTGTGCAGTCAGTACAGACCCTTCCATTTCTGTGTGCAGCGCTGTGGAACATTGTGGCCCATTGTGAATCCTCGGGGTGAGTCACCCATCAGTGCACACCTCTTCCTCTCTATTCTTCTCTATTCCTCCCTTTGCCTCCTCTCTCTTTCTCTCTCCGCCTCTCTCTTTCGCTCTCCTCTTCTCTCTTTCTCTCTCCTCCTCTCTCTTTCTCTCTCCTCCTCTCTCTTCCTCTCTCCTCCTCTCTCTGCTCCTGTAATTGGAACTCAGAACTCTGACACATTCTGACAGAAAACAGTAATGGAACCAGCACTCTAGAAGGGAGAGGTTCCTCCCTTGGGCACTGATCTAGAACCTGCTATAGCCTCTCCATATCCTAACCTTAACCATAAGAGGGGGGAAACACTGGTAGTGGCAACTTCATTGATATCTGTTTTCTGCTTTCAGCTGAATTATTCTGGGCTGTTTCTGGGGGCAAGCTGGTCCCAGCAATCTAACCAAGGAGATCTGATGGGGTGTTTTTAATGAGTGGTTAAAAACTGTTAGTGGGTTTGAAGAGGAGAGGGCCCAGAGTGGTGATTATACAGGCTAGAGTGAGCAGCAAAGAGAAGGAATACACACAGCAGTGCTCTCAGCAGCCCTCAACAACACGGCACGCACGCACACACACAGACAAACAATCTTCACACAATATGGATGACTGGGTCTAGACTAGAATAAAGGGTGGCTGGATGCTGTAGTCCATCTTGGTAGTAAGCCCAGTGTGTGTGTGTGTGTGTGTGTGTGTGTGTGTGTGTGTGTGTGTGTGTGTGTGTCCATGCATGAGGGTGTCCCTACATGTTTGTGTGCTGTAGCTGAGTGGTTGAGTTAACACTGACTCCACTTGTGTGGAGTGGAGTGTTGGTCTGATTGCTGGAGAAATCTCTGCTGCTCCCTCCCTCTCTTCTCTCCCCTCATTTTCACAGTTTTCTCCTATGTGCTCCTCTCCTCTCCATCAGACTGAGTAGGAGTGTTGGTTGATGGTACTTTTTGGGAGGTGGACAATTTTGCCAATTGACATTCAGATCCTTGTCCTTCACAGTATTCCCAAACCACATCCCACAGACAGACACCACAACATCTCTCTTTCCTTCTCTTACCACTTTCTCTCATTGTCTACCTTCTCCTCCCTCCATCCCTCCATCCCTGTGAAGTCGTCATGCTCCGTTAAGGAGGGAAGGACTGCCTGAGGCCACGGAGCTTTTAGCTCAGCCTAGACATCTGCCGACGGGACACACACAAGGACCACACACACACACACACACACACACACACACACACACACACACACACACACACACACACACACACACACACACACACACACACACACACACACACACACACACACACACACACACACACACACACACACACACACACAGGGACAACAAAGGACACTCAAAATGCACTACTACCCACCCCAGGTGGCTGTTTGGGACACTACTCCGGGCAGGGGGAGGGGTAGAGGGGAAGAGAGGGAAGGAGTGAGGAAGAGAGGATGAGAAAGGAGGAGGGAAGTGGGGTGACCCACAGGGACACCAGAGGACAAAACCTTTATTTATTGATCAGCTAAGATCCCCACAGTCCTGCCCTATCCTCTGGGGTGACAACTAATATCCTGTCTGCTCTGGCTTTAGGGCAGCACACACACACACACACACACACTGCTCTGAAATCCCCTGTCTTCTTGGCGATAACCATCTCTTTAGCAGGTGTTTGATGAGAAAGCAGAGGGAGTTAGCTGTCCCTGCCAGTCCCCCTGAGAACATCAAACAAAATACTGATCTGGTCCCTAAATCCATCTCTGGGATGAACTGTGGAGATTGGGAGCTCTGGATGGCTTCTACATCCTACACCTCTCTGAATATCACACACACACACCTGCATACATACTCACTCAGTCACACAGACACACACACACACCCTGATCCCTCCCTGTTGATTCAGAGATAGAGAGGCTTGAAGATGGAGACGGCTGATATTGCAGCGTGAGACGACAGACACTGGCAGCGTGACTGGAATCATATAACGGAGTCATCACATCTCACACACACACACTAAAGGTAAAGAGATCATTACCACACTACTAAGCTACGATTTCACAGGTAAATCTGAATGCTCCTGATTTCAACACCTAATGATATAATGCATGTCACGTCAATTCCAGATCTGTAAGATGCAGCACCTCAGAGAGATGGAACTGTGACAGTCACAGTAGCAGTATTCTGCACATGCATTTTCTATCTCCTCCAGGGTAAATGGAATTCAGACTCAACCTCACCTGATACACACTTTAAATGGTTAGACTGTCATTCACATTCTATTGGGCTTGTATATCTGACTTAGAAAGAGTACTCTACACACATACATTGCTGGCAGGCAGGCATGCACGCACAGACACGTACTTTCTCAAATACACACTGTCCTTCCCTGGCTCTCTCTCTTCCCCCCCATCTCTCTCTCTCTCTCTCCCTCTCTCTCTCTCTCTCTCAATTCAATTTTCGATTTCAATTCGATTTCAATTTAAGGGGCTTTATTGGCATGGGAAACATATGTTTACATTGCCAAAGCAAGTGAAATAGATAATAAACAAAAGTGAAATAAACAATAAAAAATGTACAGTAAACATTACACAAAAGTTCCAAAAGGATAAAGACATTTCAAATGTCATATTATGTCTATATACAGTGTTATAATGATGTGCAAATAGTTAAAGTATAAAAAGGATAATAAATCAACATAAATATGGGTTGTATTTACAATGGTGTTTGTTCTTCACTGGTTGCCCTTTTCTTGTGGCAACAAGTGACAAATCTTGCTGCTGTGATTGCACACTGTGGTATTTCACCCAATAAATATGGGAGTTTATCAGAATTGGGATTGTTTTTCGAATTCTTTGTGGGTTTGTGTAATCTGAGGGAAGTATGTGTCTCTAATATGGTCATACATTTGGCAGGAAGTTAGGAAGTGCAGCTCAGTTTCCACCTCATTTTGTGGGCAGTGTGCACATAGCCTGTCTTCTCTTGAGAGCCAGGTCTGCCTACAGCGGCCTTTCTCAATAGCAAGGCTATGCTCACTGAGTCTGTACATAGTCAAAGCTTTCCTTAAGTTTGGGTCAGTCACAGTGTTCAGGTATTCTGCCACTGTGTACTCTCTGTTTAGGGCCAAATAGCATTCTAGTTTGTTCTGTTTTTTTGTTAATTCTTTCCGATGTGTCAAGTAATCATCTTTTTGTATTATTATGATTTGGTTGGGTCTAAGTGTGTTGCTGTCCTGGGGCTCTGTGAGGTCTGTTGTGTTTGTGAACAGAGCCCCAGGACTAGCTTGCTTAGGGGATTCTTATCCAGGTTCATCTCTCTGTAGGTGATGGCTTTGTTATGGAAGGTTTGGGAATCGTTTCCTTTTAGGTGGTTGTAGAATTTAACGGCACTTTTCTGGATTTTGATAATTAGCAGGTATCGGCCTAATTCTGCTTTACGTGCATTATTTGGTTTTATGTTGTACACTGAGGATATTTTTGCAGAATTCTGCATGCAGAGTCTCAATTTGGTGTTTGTCCCATTTTGTGAATTCGTGGTTGGTGAGCGGACCCCAGAACTCACAACCATAAAGGACAATGGGTTCTATAACTGATTCAAGTATTTTTAGCCAGATCCTAATTGGTATGTCGAATTTTATGTTCCTTTTGATAGCATAGAAGGCCCTTCTTGCTTTGTCTCTCAGATCGTTCATAGCTTTGTGGAAGTTACCTGTGGCGCTGATGTTTAGGCCGAGGTATGGTATAGTTTTTTGTGTGCTCTAGGGCAACGGTGTCTAGATGGAATTTGTATTTGTGGTCCTGGCAACTGAACCTTTTTTGGAACACCATTATTTTTGTCTTACTGAGATTTACTGTCAGGGCCCAGGTCTGACAGAATCTGTGCAGAAGATCTAGGTGCTGCTGTAGGCCCTCCTTGGTTGGGGACAGAAGCAAACAGTAGACATTTGTGACTCACCACCTGGATTTGGTCTTATGTAGCAAATATCTGAAAATGTAGCTAGCTAGACTATCTTACCCATATACATCATCATGCATGATGGACACATCTCCCTCGGATGCCATGCCACAGTTGACTTAGTTTGAAGATGTAATCATACTATACTATCATACTCTAATTCCATTGATTTGAAAACTCGATCCTCCAGAAAGTGGAGAGCAACACTTATGCAGCTCCACTACACAATACATTTTTTAAAAAGCCGTGTTCGACAGGATTACCAACACAGACTGACAGAAGCCTTCTATATGGCAGACCAATCTGAACTCCTCTCTCGGCCTGTCCAGCCCACTCATTACCTCAGCCAATCATGGCTAGTGGGAAGGTTGCTGTCTGTGGCTTAACCAACAAGGCTCGTAATTTAACAATTGTATTCATATTTACAGATGGCATACAAGTTTGATATTAAGGCACATGAAAGTTCACATGTTCCAGAAGGCATATCTGCCAAAAAACACATTTTGATAAAAAATACAAAAACAAAACATTCAAATGGTTCTCCTGTGAAGTTGTGACTTGCGATATACGCCTAGTTTCCTGAAATGGGTCACATTTGATTTCAGATTCTAGTAAGGTGAGGCCGGGTGCTGCAGACTGTTATAGTGCCCTCGCCAATTTGTTGATATATTTGTTGAAGGGGGTGGGGCTTAAGCTGCATCCCTGTCTCACCCCACGGCCATGGGGAAAGAAATGTGTGTGTTTTTTGCCAATTTGAACCACACACTTGTTGTTTGTGTACATGGATTTTATAATGTCGTATGTTTTCCCCCCCCCAACACCACTTTCCAACAATTTGTATAGCAGACCCTCATGCCAAATTGAGTCAAAATCTTTTTTGAAATCAACAAAGCATGAGAAGACTTTGCCTTTATTTTGGTTTGTTTGTTTGTTAATTAGGGTGTGCAGGGTGAATACATGGTCTGTCGTATGGTAATTTTTTTTTTTTTTAATTGACATTTGCTCAGTACATTGTTTTCACTGAGGAAATGTACAAGTCTGCTGTTAATGATAATGCAAAGGATTCTCCCAAGGTTGCTGTTGACACATATCCCACAGTAGTTATTGGGTTCAAATTTGTCTCCACTTTTGTGGATTGGGGTGATCAGTCCTTGGTTCCAAATATTGGGAAGATGACAGAGCTAAGGATGATGTTAAAGAGTTTAAGTATAGCCAATTGGAATTTGTGGTCTGTATAGTTTATCATTTCATTGAGGATACCATTTAGGGTTTATATTTTGACCTGTAGTTCATTACATTTTAGTCATTTAGCAGACACTCTTATCCAGAGCGACTTACAGTTAGTGAGTGCATACATTTGTTTATTTAATACTGGCCCCCCGTGGGAAACGAACCCACAACCCTGGCGTTGCAAGCGCCATGCTCTACCAACTGAGCTACACGGGACCATTCAATGTAATTGGAGAATCCATTGGGTTCTGGTAGTCTTTAATAGTTGATTCTAAGATTTGTATTTGATCATGTATATATTTTTGCTGTATGTTCTTTTTTATAGGGCCAAAAAGATTGGAGAAGTGGTTTACCCATACATCTCCATTTTGGATAGATAACTCTTCGTGTTGTTGTTTGTTTAGTGTTTTCCAATTTTCCCAGAAGTGGTTAGAGTCTATGGATTCTTCAATTACATTGAGCTGATTTCTGACCTGCTTTTCAGTATTTTTCTGTAGTGTATTTCTCTATTGTTTTAGTGATTCACCATATTGAAGGCTCAGCTTTTCTGGGTCTCTATGTTTTTGGTTGGATAGGTTTCTCAATTTATTTTTTAGGTTTTTGCATTCTTCATCAAACCATTTGTCATTGTTGTTACATTTCTTTGGTTTTCTGTTAGACATTTTTCAATTTTGTCCAGGAAGTTGTCTAAAAGGGATTGAATTTGTTGTTGCCTAATTGTTTTTTGGTAGGTTTCGACACTACTTTCCTTCCATCTATAGCATATCTTAATATTATTCAGTTCCTTTGGCTTTGATGCCTCATGATTGAGTATTGCGCTGTTCAAGTAGACTGTGATTTTGCTGTGATCTGATAAGGGTATCAGTGGGCTGACTGTGAACGCTCTGAGAGACTCTGGGTTGAGGTCAGTGATAAAGTAGTCTACAGTCCTACTGCCAAGAGATGAGCTATAGGTATACCTACCATAGGAGTCTCCTCGAAGCCTACCATTGACTATGTACCTATCCAACGTGCGACAGAGCTGCAGGAGTTGTGACCCGTTTTTGTTGGCTATGTGCCTAGGGGGGCATATGGGGGGCATCTCTCTCTCTCCATTCTCCCTCTTGCTCATTTTATTTCACTCACACTGTGCAGCTGAACTTCTCCTAGCCTGAACCCATTACGGTACTCCAGTTGTGACCAAGTCTGAGCTAATACAAACACACAATACAATACAAGTGCTCAGATGTGATTATTGCAGTCCTATTGTTGAAAAAACATCAGTACAAATCAATAACAGCATTATAATCACACCTCTATGTCCTACATACCTCTATATCCTAGAGTTTAGACTTGGAATTTAGAGTTTACAGTTTACAGTTGGGATTTAGAGTATAGAGTTTAGAGTTTAGATTTTACAGAGTTAAGAGTTTAGAGCATGCATCTGTGCAGACAACCATGGGAATGTTTGGACAGGGATGAGTGTGTTTGAGCCGGGTTCATCAGGATTTGGACTGAACCAACCATGACCTTGTTTGACTGGGCCGTTGTTTGTTCACACACTCTCCTTTCTGAATGTAGTGTGTAGAGATGGCTTGGTAAATAAAACCAGTAGGTGGATCGCAGGAGGGATGGCTATATTGTACACAGAATGTGTGTGTGTGTGTGTGAGATAAAGAGAGAGAGAGAGAGAGAGAGAGAGAGAGAGAGAGAGAGAGTGGGCTGAGCAAGAGCAAACAGAACTTGCTCTAAACAGCAGAAAAGTGTAAATCAACCGTGGGATCAGATTTCACCCAAACGCAAATTGTATTTTAGGTGCTTCTTCTATAAGGAGCTCAGTGTGCAGGTCTAGGTTAGAAACAAGAGGTGTTTTAAGCTCTAATGATGTGATACCATTTCTTTGTGTGTATTTGAACAGTGCTCTGCTAAGGAACAAGGGTTAGAGGTTTGACAATCCTACTGATACAGAGACAGAGTCTGGAATATTGCAATTTAAAGTCTGATTTAGAATGTTTGGCAGTAACACCAAATGTTCCAGAATGTTCTAGTACGAATCTAAATGCTATGCTTCATTGCCTGGTATTTACTAGACAACATATGAAAAGGTTAATTACATTACTACTAATATAAAAGCAACACGCAATAATTTCAAAGATTTTACTGAGTTACAGTTCATGAGGAAATCAGTCAATTCAAATAAATTCATTAGGCCCAATCTATGGATTTCGCATGACAGGGAATACAGATATGCGTCTGTTGGTCACAGATACTTTTTTTTAAAAGGTAGAGGCATGGATCAGAAAACTAGTCAGTATTTGGTGTGACCACCATTTGCCTCATGCAGCGCGACACATCGCATAGAGTTAATCAGGCTGTTGATTGTGGCCTGTGGAATGTTGTCCCACTATGCTTCAATGAGGCACTCTCACACAACGTTGACATCAGCAAACCGCTCGCCCACACAATGCCATACACGCTGTCTGGCATCTACACAGATGAGCTTTCCTGAGACGGTTTCTGACAGTTTGTGCAGAAATTCTTTGGTTGTGCAAACCCACAGTTTCATCAGCTGTTGAGTGGCTGGTCTCAGACGATCCCGCAGGTGAAGAAGCCGGATGTGGACGTCCTGGGCTGGCGTGGTTACGCGTGGTCTGCGGTTATGAGGCCGGTTGGACGTACTGCCAAATTCCCTAAAATAACGTTGGAGGCGGTTTATGGTAGAGAAATTAACATTCAATTCTCTGGCAACAGCTCTGGTGGACATTCCTGCAGTCAGCATGCCAATTGCACACTCCCTGAAACTCGAGACATCTGTGGCATTATGTTGTGTGACAAAACTGCACATTTTAGAGTGGCCTTTTATTGTCCCCAGCACAAGGTGCACCTGTTTAATCAGCTTCTTGATATGCCACACCTGTCAGGTGGATGGATTATCTTGGCAAAGGAGAAATGCTCACCAACAGGGATGTAAACACATTTGTGCACTAAACTTGAGAGAAATAAGCTTTTTGTGCACCAGAACATTTTCAGGGATATTTTATTTCAGCTCATGAAACATGGGACCAACACTTTACGTTTATATTTCTGTTCAGTATATTTGTTTTCATACGTGTGTGTATGTACAGTGCATTCGGAAAGTATTCAGACCCCTTGACTTTTTTCACCCTTAGTTTCCTTACAGCCTTATTCTAAAATGGATTAAATTGTTTTTTCCCCCCTCATCAACCTACACACAATAACCCATAATGACAAAGCAAAAACTGGTTTTGACATTTTTACAAATGTATTGAAAATATAAAACGGAAATATCATATTTACATAAGTAGGCAGCGATTACAGCCTCGAGTCTTCATGGGTATAACGCTACAAGCTTGGCACACCTGCATTTGGAGAGTTTCACCCATTCTTCTCTGCAGATCCTCTCAAGCTCTGTCAGGTTGGATGGGGAGCGTTGCTGCACAGCTATTTTCAGGTCTCTCCAGAGATGTTAGATCGGGTTCAAGTCCGGGCTCTGGCTGGGCCACTCAAGGACATTCAGAGACTTGTCCTGAAGCCACTACTGCATTGTCTTGGCTGTGTGCTTAGGGTTGTTGCCCTGTTGGAAGGTGAACCTTCGCCCCAGTCTGAGGTCCTGAGTGCTTTGGAGCAGGTTTTCATCAAGGATCTCTCTGTACTTTGCTCCGTTCATCTTTCCCTCAATCCTGACTCTCCCAGTCCCTGCTGCTGAAAAACATCCCCACCGCATGATGCTGCCACCACCATGCTTCACCGTAGGGACGGTGCCAGGTTTCCTCCAGACGTGACGCTTGGCATTCAGGCCAAAGAGTTCAATCTTGGTTTCATCAGACCAGAGAATCTTGTCCTTTAGGTGCCTTTTGGCAAACCCCAAACGGGCTGTCATGTGCCTTTTACTGAGGAGTGGCTTCCATCTGGCCACTCTACCATAAAGGCCTAATTGGTGTAGTGCTGCAGAGATGGTTGTCCTTCTGAAAGCGTCTCCCATCTCCACAGAGGAACTCTGGAGAACTGTCAGAGTTACCATTGGGTTCTTGGTCACCTCCCTGACCTAGGCCCTTTTCCCCCGATTGTTCAGTTTGGCTGGGCGGCCAGATCTAGGAAGAGTCTAGGTGGTTCCAAACTTCTTCCATTTAAGAATGATGGAGGCCACTGTGTTCTTGGGGACCTTCAATGCTGCAGAAATGTTTTGGTAACCATCCCCAGATCTGTGCCTCGACACAATCCTGTCTTGGAGCTCTACTGTCAATTCCTTCAACCTCATGGCTTGGTTTTTGCTCTGACATGCACTGTCAAGTGTGGGACCTTATATAGACAGGTGTGTGCCTTTCCAAATCATGTCCAATCAATTTAATTTACCACAGGTGGACTCCAATCAAGTTCTAAATAAATCTCAAGGATGATCAATGGAAACAGGATGCAGCTGAGCTCAATTTCGAGTCTCATAGCAAATGGTCTGAACACTTATGTAAACAAGGTGTATATATATATATATATATATATATATATATATATATATATATATATATATATATTTTTTTTTAATACATTTGCAAACATTTCTTAAAAACCTGTTTTCACTTTGTCATTATGGGGTAGTGTGTGTAGATTGATGAGGAAAAACATTTATTTAATCAATTTTAGAATATGGCTGCAATGTAATAAAATGTGGAAAAAGTCAAGGGGTCTGAATACTTTCCGAATGCACTGTATCTAAACATGCAGCCTACAGCATGTATGAATATTGAGTGAAGACAGCAGGACTATAACAGTCTCCCTGAGACACTGACCACCAGATGCCCTGAGTTGCCTCCCGCCGGTGTGTGTGTGTGTTGTGTGTGTGTGCATGTGTGTGTGCGTATGTCTGTCTGTCTGTCTGTGTGTTCCAGACTGATATTGGTTAAGATAGGACTGCAGAGTGTTCTGCCTCTCATGAATGGTGATTGTGCACATTTGCCCTTTCCAGAAACGGGAAGAAAACACGTCTATAGCTCTGACCTTTCAAGAAGACGACAAGAGGGATTATTTTGCATTCTGACTAAATGTCTGGAAGTTTAGCAGCCCACGGAACGAGCTGAGATTCACTGGGGGCCATTTTCATCCATGATTTGAAATCTACCTCCGCACTGTAGAGTGCTGGGAAGGGTTGATACCAATAGTGACTTCATCTGTGGATGGAGGTTCTCAGCATCTGTGTGTGTGTGTGTATCTGTGTCTGCGTGTGTGTCTGTGTGTGCGTGTCTGTGTGTTCATGAATCAGCAGATGTGGAATGCCCTGACTTCTGAACCCCGGATGTAGCCACGTGACCTCTGGCCCCTGATATGAGTAGTCCTCTAGAGGACATCATTCTGCTGCACCATTTATAGCTCCCACAGCAGAAATGGCAGGGTTTTGAGTTATATCCGACCTCATGGTATATGTGCTGCTCAGGGTGAAATAAGTCAATGACATCTCATCTTGGGGCACAAATGAGTGACTACTTTAAACAAAACACCTAACATATTATCTCATGACAAACCAATGGTTAAAAATGTATGACTTTTATACGAGTTTTCTTTTCTATGGCAGGGCTGTTGCATTCCTTCTATTTTCCTAAAACGCATCTCTTTTATCACCAGATTTAAAAAATGATTATGACAGCTCTGTAAGAATAAAATATTGTAAACTCTGCGTTTATCGCATTAAATAGATTAGGAGTCGACCTCTTTTATTGACATCAAATCAAATTTTATTTGCCACATGCAACAATTACAACAGGTGTAGACATTACCGTGAAATGCTTACTTACGGCAGGAAGCTTGGCCCCAGTGATGTACTGGACCGTACGCACTACCCTCTGTAGTGCCTTGCGGTCGGAGGCCGAGCAGTTGCCATACCAGGCGGTGATGCAACCAGTCAGGATGCTCTCGTTGTTATCCTGGCACCACACGGCCAGGTCTCTGACCTCTATAGGCTGTCTCATCGTTGTCGGTGATCAGGCCTAACACTGTTGTGTCGTCAGCAAACTTAATGATGGTGTTGGAGTCGTGCTTGGCCATGCAGTCATGGGTGAACAGGGAGTACAGGAGGGGACTGAGCACGCACCCCTGAGGGGCCCCCGTGTTGAGGATCAGCGTGGCAGATGTGTTGTTACCTACCCTTACCACCTGGGGGCGGCCCGTCAGGAAGTCAGAGGGAGGTGTTGCAGAGGGAGGTGTTTAGTCCCAGGATCCTTAGCTTAGTGATGAGCTTTGAGGACACTATGGTGTTGAACGCTGAGCTGTAGTCAATGAATAGCATTCTCACGTAGGTGTTCCTCTTGTCCAGGTGGGAAAGGGCAGTGTGGAGTGCAATAGAGATTGCATCATCTGTGGATCTGTTGGGGTGGTATGCAAATTAGAGTGTGTCTAGGGTTTCTGGGATAATGGTGTTGATGTGAGCCATGACCAGCCTTTCAAAGCACTTCATGGCTACAGACGTGAGTGCTACGGGTCGGTAGTCATTTAGGCAGGTTATCTTAGTGTTCTTGGGCACAGGGACTATGGTGGTCTGCTTGAAACATGTTGGTATTACAGACTCAGTCAGGGACATGTTGAAAATGTCAGTGAAGACACTTGCCAGTTGGTCAGCACATGCTCGGAGTACACGTCCTGGTAATCCATCTGGCCCTGCGGCCTTGTGAATGTTGACCTGCTTAAAAGTCTTACTCACATCGGCTACGGAGAGCGTGATCACATAGTCATCCGGAACAGCTGGTGCTCTCATGCATGCTTCAGTGTTACTTGCCTCGAAGCGAGCATAGAAGTGGTTTATCTCATCTGGTAGGCTTGTGTCACTGGGCAGCTCGCGTTTGTGCTTCCCTTTGTAGTCTGTAATAGTTTTCAAGCCCTGCCACATCCGACGAGCGTCAGAGCCGGTGTAGTACGATTCAATCTTAGTCCTGTATTGACTCTTTGCCTGTTTGATGGTTCGTCGGAGGGCATAGCGGGATTTCTTATAAGCGTCCGGGTTAGAGTCCCGCTCCTTGAAAGCGGCAGCTCTACCCTTTAGCTCAGTGCGGATGTTGCCTGTAATTCATGGCTTCTGGTTGGGGTATGTACGTACGGTCACTGTGGGGACAACATCATCGATGTACTTATTGATGAAGCCAGTGACTGATGTGGTGTACTCCTCAATGCTATCTGAAGAATCCCGGAACATGTTCCAGTCTGTGCTAGCAAAACAGTCCTATAGCTTAGCATCTGCATCATCTGACCACTTTTTTATTAACCGAGTCACTGGTGCTTCCTGCTTTAGTTTTTGCTTATAAGCAGGAATCAGAAGGATAGAGTTATGGTCAGATTTGCCAAATGGAGGGCGAGGGAGAGCTTTGTATGCGTCTCTGTGTGTGGAGTAAAGGTGGTCTAGAGATTTTTTACTCTGGTTGCACATTTAACATGCTGGTAGAAATGAGGTAGAACGGATTTAAGTTTCAATGCATTAAAGTCCTCGGCCACTAGGAGCGCTGCCTCTGGATGAGCGTTTTCCTGTTTAGTTATGGCCTTATACAGCTCATTGAGTGCAATCTTAATGCCAGCATTGGTTTGTGGTGGTAAATAGACAGGTATGAAAAATATAGATGACATGTATTAAAGCAAAAGCAGAGAGGCACTTACTGTAGAGCTAGTCCACAACACTGTAAAACAACATACTGTATCTATAATACATAGTCAAGATAACACTCTCTTAACCTTGAAACAGCATACCACCGGATAATAATACTTGATATCTCAGCCTCTGTCTTGCCCAGCAGGGTCTCAGATAAGGCTGAAATAGAGACATATGTGTCGGGCCTACTTTCTCTCCCTACCTCCCTCTCTCTCTTTTAACCCTCTGTCTCACTCCCCAGAGAGGGGGAGTGTTTCACAAGCACAGGAAATGAAGCACTTTGAATAACCTGGCGATGTGTAAGAGGTGTTACATGTGTCTGGCCGAGCTAGAACATTTTTATACTGTAAGTGCTGTATTTAATACTGTCAAAAAATGTGTCGGCGAGGGGGGCATAGTGTTGGAGAGAGTGTTGTGTGGATCGACCTTGAAAGAAGTAGAAATGTACTCTTGAATTTAGAGATGGCCATCTCTGAAGGAGGTAGGTAGGAACTAGCTACCGTAACTAACAATCACTACTCAACTAAGAGTTATATCTGAAGTAGGCAGTTTTACATCTGCAGCGACAGAGTCCAGTGTTCTATATGGCCTCTCAGCTCTCACAGACACACATGAGAGGAGAAGCCGCAGCTTTGGGATACAATATATTAAGTCTGATTAAAGTGAGCTGATGCTAAGTGCGTTGTTACGGCAATCAGAAGCACAGGCTGGTTAGGTTAGGAGAAGAGATCCTTCAAAAGGGGGGATATCTTACTCTCTCCTCATTACATTTTAATAGTTAGGAGCCAAGACCCCCAAAGCTGAACTCAGCATAAAGTTCTTTAGAAATAAGTACAACATCTTATTTCTGCCCAATACCTCGAAAAGCCTTAGCTGTATCCATTATTCCAAAGGCCTTCCTTGGTTTTAGGGAAACCCCAGTTGGATTCCGTGAGGCAAAAGCTGCGTCAAAGAAATGAGAAATATAATTTCTAAAGGTTACTCGCTCCCCAAAAAAGCTTTTAGAGGTATAGCCTAACTTTGCTGCCGTAGCAGAGGCCCTCTCTGAATCTATCTGAAAGAGTTAAAGTTAAAGTTTAATGAGATTGTGTTTGTCTAGTCTGCTGCCGTCAACCTTCACTTAACAGGTAAGCTGACTGAGAACACATTCTCATTACAGCAATGATCCAGGGAAGAGTTACAGGGAAGAGGAGAGGAGAGGAGCTGGGCATTATTATGTTACCGTGGCACTATGAGCTGCTAGTTTGGGAACTGAGCCAGCCAGGACACTGGGGTTTACAGTGTGGGAACCGCTACTTGTGTGACAGGTTGTTAATGACTGATGAGCCAGGACCTTGGTTCAACATTTCATCCATTGTCTGTGTGAACGAATAGCTCAGTTTAAATGTGCCCAGATCTATGATCAGTTTACCCTCACACAATGTTAACCTTAACAGTAGGGGTGTGGGAACACAAAACTGACCTTGGATCAACGTCTAATGGGCAGCTTCCTCTTACTGTGAGTGAATGCAGCATGCTGCCTGTGTGGATGTGGTCTGCTGCCTGCCTGGCTCCCTCAGTGCAGTGTGGGTGGCTATATTTACATTATTTATTTGTATAAATGATTCCAGCTCAGCCAGTCCTGGGCAAGACAGTGATTGGAGCATTATGAGATGACACTGACTGTACCAACAGAACTATATCTCCATAAAAGTCACAGTAATATGGTCCTCCTTGAGTCTGAGTCTCCTCTCTCTCTCTCTCTCTCTCTCTCTCTCTCTCTCTCTCTCTCTCTCTCTCTCTCTCTCTCTCTCTCTCTCTCTCTCTCTCTCTCTCTCTCTCTCTCTCTCTCTCTCTCTCTCTATATATATATATATATATATATATATATATATATATATATAGATATCCCTATAGGCGTATGTCTTGCTCTTTCTCAGTCTCTTCTTCCTCTCTTTCCGTCTTTCTCCAAACCTCATGTTCTTCTCCTTGTAACCCCCCAGTGCTCTGTCCTGCCATGACTCGGTGTTAACTGGCTAGCACTGCCCTGATATTACCAATGTAGTAGTTGGCTAGCGCTGCCCTAACATTATCAGTGTGATAGCAGGCTAGCTGTGCAGGGCCCCAGCATTAGCAGTCTGCATCGTGTTCCCCTATAGCGCTTCACTGACTTTTAATTTGCACTTCTGCTGCTGCACGGCTTGTATCTGCTGCCCTGACAGACCCACACCCCTCCAGCCAGCCAGTCTGTACTCAGGCAGACACACACATTGCCCAGTAAACTGGAAACATTCTCAGAACATTAGCTAAGATTACCATACATTTATAGATTGGGTTTGATATTTTTTATGTTTTAAATGAAATATCCTTGGAACGTTCTAACATTCACTTAAATGAAGTCTGTCAATCTTGCAAGAAGGTTGACAGAACAGCCTTTCTGAGTAAGTAGCCTTGCACGAGCGAGCCAGAACTGCTCATAGGGCAGGAGCCTATCTCCTGTTTCTGTAGCATGAGGCAGCTTGATGTACAAGTACACACCCCCCTGGACAGGACGCTAGTCTATAGCAGGGCCTCACCCCCAATCTATCTCCTTAATGCTGAGTGCCAAGCGGAGACGCATCAGGTACCATTTTTACAGTCTTTGGTATGGTTTAGCCAGGGATTGAACTCAAAACCTTCCAATCTCAGGGCAGACGCTCTAACCAAAAGGCCACAGAGTTGCACAGGACATTCACTTAACGTTGTAAGATTGTTGACAGAACACCTAGTCTAAGTTCTTTAAAGGTTCCCAGAACATTTAATTAAGT